CCCCGCTGGTCACAGGTGCCCACTCTGACACCTCGCCACGCACCATGACTCGCTGCTGTCTTCCTGACAAGTATTCCCTGATCCATTGTAGTGCCTTCCCTGTTACCCCTGCTTGGTCCTCCAGCTTTTGCACTAACCTCTTGTGTGGAGCTATGTCAAACGCCTTCTTACAGTCCAAGAAAATGCAATCTACCCACCTAATTGTGGTTGCAGGGGTCGATTCACAGCTCCTGTCCCTGCTTCTTCACTGGTTGCTACAATATGTGCTCACCTAATTGTAGTTGCTGGGCTCGATTCATAGCTCTTTGCCATGCCTCTTCACTGGTCACTGCTAGGTGTGTGTCTGTGTGTGTGTTGGACAGTCAGTGGCCACATCATTAGGTACAATTGCTCATTAATGCAAACATCTAATCAGCCAATCATGTGGCAACCCTTCAATGCCTAGAAGTATGCATATATCACAAGAGGTTTACCTGGAGTTTACCTGGAGAGAGTTCCGGGGGTCAACGCCCCTGCGGCCCGGTCTGTGACCAGGCCTCCTGGTGGATCAGAGCCTGATCAACCAGGCTGTTGCTGCTGGCTGCACGCAAACCAACGTACGAGCCACAGCCCGGCTGATCAGGAACTGACTTTAGGTGCTTGTCCAGTGCCAGCTTGAAGACTGCCAGGGGTCTGTTGGTAATCCCCCTTATGTATGCTGGGAGGCAGTTGAACAGTCTCGGGCCCCTGACACTTATTGTATGGTCTCTTAACGTGCTAGTGACACCCCTGCTTTTCATTGGGGGGATGTTGCATCGTCTGCCAAGTCTTTTGCTTTCGTAGTGAGTGATTTTCGTGTGCAAGTTCGGTACTAGTCCCTCTAGGATTTTCCAGGTGTATATAATCATGTATCTCTCCCTCCTGCGTTCCAGGGAATACAGGTTTAGGAACCTCAAGCGCTCCCAGTAATTGAGGTGTTTTATCTCCATTATGCGCGCCGTGAAAGTTCTCTGTACATTTTCTAGGTCGGCAATTTCACCTGCCTTGAAAGGTGCTGTTAGTGTGCAGCAATATTCCAGCCTAGATAGAACAAGTGACCTGAAGAGTGTCATCATGGGCTTGGCCTCCCTAGTTTTGAAGGTTCTCATTATCCATCCTGTCATTTTTCTAGCAGATGCGATTGATACAATGTTATGGTCCTTGAAGGTGAGATCCTCCGACATAATCACTCCCAGGTCTTTGACGTTGGTGTTTCGCTCTATTTTGTGGCCAGAATTTGTTTTGTACTCTGATGAAGATTTAATTTCTTCATGTTTACCATATCTGAGTAATTGAAATTTCTCATCGTTGAACTTCATATTGTTTTCTGCAGCCCACTGAAAGATTTGGTTGATGTCCGCCTGGAGCCTTGCAGTGTCTGCAATGGAAGACACTGTCATGCAGATTCGGGTGTCATCTGCAAAGGAAGACACGGTGCTGTGGCTGACATCCTTGTCTATGTCGGATATGAGGATGAGGAACAAGATGGGAGCGAGTACTGTGCCTTGTGGAACAGAGCTTTTCACCGTAGCTGCCTCGGACTTTACTCTGTTGACGACTACTCTCTGTGTTCTGTTAGTGAGGAAATTATAGATCCATCGACCGACTTTTCCTGTTATTCCTTTAGCACGCATTTTGTGCGCTATTACGCCATGGTCACACTTGTCGAAAGCTTTTGCAAAGTCTGTATATATTACATCTGCATTCTTCTTGTCTTCTAGTGCATTTAGGACCTTGTCGTAGTGATCCAATAGTTGAGACAGACAGGAGCGACCTGTTCTAAACCCATGTTGCCCTGGGTTGTGTAACTGATGGGTTTCTAGATGGGTGGTGATCTTGCTTCTTAGGACCCTTTCAAAGATTTTTATGATATGGGATGTTAGTGCTATCGGTCTGTAGTTCTTTGCTGTTGCTTTACTGCCCCCTTTGTGGAGTGGGGCTATGTCTGTTGCTTTTAGTAACTGTGGGACGACCCCCGTGTCCGTGCTCCCTCTCCATAGGATGGAAAAGGCTCGTGATAGGGGCTTCTTGCAGTTCTTGATGAACACAGAGTTCCATGAGTCTGGCCCTGGGGCAGAGTGCATGGGCATGTCATTTATCGCCTGTTCGAAGTCATTTGGCGTCAGGATAACATCGGATAGGCTTGTGTTAATCAAATTTTGTGGCTCTCTCATAAAAAATTAATATTGATCTTCGACTCTCAGTCTGGTTAGCTGCTTGCTAAAAACTGAGTCATACTGGGACTTGAGTAGCTCACTCATTTCCTTGCTGTCATCTGTGTAGGACCCATCTTGTTTAAGTAGGGGCCCAATACTGGACGTTGTTCTCGATTTTGATTTGGCATAGGAGAAGAAATACTTTGGGTTTCTTTCGATTTCATTTATGGCTTTTAGTTCTTCCCGCGATTCCTGACTCCTAAAGGATTCTTTTAGCTTAAGTTCGATGCTTGCTATTTCTCTGACCAGTGTCTCCCTACGCATTTCAGATATATTGATCTCTTTTAGCCGCTCTGTTATTCTTTTCCGTCGCCTGTAAAGGGAGCGCCTGTCTCTTTCTATTTTACATCTACTCCTCCTTTTTCTTAGAGGAATAAGCCTTGTGCAAACATCGAGTGCCACCGAGTTAATCTGTTCTAGGCATAAGTTGGGGTCTGTGTTGCTTAGTATATCTTCCCAGCTTATATCGGTTAGGAATTAGTTTACTTGGTCCCACTTTATGTTTTTGTTATTGAAGTTGAATTTGGTGAATGCTCCATCGTGACTAGTCTCATTATGTCGGTCTGGGGCTCCACGCATACATGTCTGAACCTCAATTATGTTGTGATCTGAGTATATTGCTTTTGATATGGTGACATTTCTTATCAGATCATCATTGTTAGTGAAGATGAGGTCTAGTGTATTCTCCAGTCTAGTAGGCTCTATTATTTGCTGGTTTAAATTGAATTTTGTGCAGAGATTTAAAAGCTCGTGTGAGTGTGAGTTTTCATCAGAGCTGCCTCCTGGTGTTATTACTGCAACAATATTATTTGCTATATTCCTCCATTTTAGGTGCCTTAAGTTGAAATCCCCCAGGAGCAAGATGTCGGGTGCAGGAGCTGGAAGATTTTCCAGACAGTGGTCAATTTTTAACAGCTGTTCCTGGAATTGCTGGGACGTTGCATCCGGAGGCTTGTAGACTACCACAATGACTAGGTTTTGGTTCTCGACCTTTACTGCTAAAACTTCCACTACATCATTTGAGGCATTAAGCAGTTCTGTGCAAACAAGTGACTCTGCAATGTACAGGCCAACCCCCCCCTTTTTCCTGTTCACTCTGTCACATCTGTATAGGTTGTAACCTGGGATCCATATTTCGTTGTCCAAGTGATCCTTTATGTGGGTCTCAGTGAAAGCCGCGAACATTGCCTTTGCCTCTGCAAGCAGGCCACGGATGAAAGGTATTTTGTTGTTGCTGGCTTTAGACCCTGTATATTTGCAAAGAAGAATGTTATCGGACTGGTGGTATTGTTGGTACTGGGGGGGGGGGATTTTTTTTCCGGCATTAGTATCTGTATCTGTTGGTTTGGAGTGGAGGCCATCGACTGTGGTTCCACTCCAGGAATGACTGGATTTGGTGTACGATTTCTGCCATTTCCTGCCAGTTTTTTTTCCTTCCTGGCACTAAAAAACCTCTCCCTCTTGAGTGGCTGTGGCTACCCAGGTTTTCCCATGGCCTGGATGTTTTGTATCTTTTTGCCCCCTTTAGATGGTATGCCTGGCAATTTAAGTTATAGCACAGTCTTTCCTGTACTGAAGAGGTACACAGTTCAGGGTGAAAAAGCTTACAGGAAGGGAGTTTGCATTTTCCTGTTGTCATATGGGCATGGCATTTTCTAGGGTGGTCATAGTTGCACGTCCCATCTGTTTTTCCAGATTTCCCATGCCAGCAGGTACCAGGTGCATAGTATGTGCACAGGCTTGGTTTCCGTTTGCCTTGGGTTTCTGTGACTGTATTCCCTGTTGGTGCATGTTTCCCTGTCTTACTTCTATCCTCCCTAGCACCAACAATGGAGCTCCCACCAGTTGTTTTTGGTAATATATCCTCACTATTGCTAGTGGAGTCCTCTTGTTTGCTATTTCCTGCGGTATTCTAGTTTGCAATATTGGTTTCAGTTCATATTCAGAACGATCATCAGAATATGGAAGAAAAGTAAACTAAGTGACTTTGACCATGGAAATATTGTTGGTACCAGACAGGGTGGTTTGAATTTATTTATTTATTTATTTATTTAATGGAAATCTAAAGGACCACAATGGAAATAAGTCACTTAGTCTGACTTTTTTGGATTATCCTAGGTTCTCTACACATATGCTGCTATGTATGATAATCTATGTAACTGTATTTGTGTATACCTGAATAAACTTGCTTACTAATCTGGGATTTTTATGCGCAACAATCTCTAGAGTTTATATTGAATAGTGTAAAATACACAAAAAATCTGGTGAATTACAGTTCTGTGGGCAAAAATGTCTTATTTATGACATAGGAGAATGGCCAGATTGGTTCAAGCTGATAGTAAAGTGACGGTAACTTAAATAACCACACATTACAGCAGTGGGATTCAGAGGGGCATATCTGGACACACAACACATCGAACCTTGTAGTGGATGGGTCAGCAGGAAATTGAAGCAACAGTGGGCACTAGCTCGCCATCATGGACAGTTGCAGACTGGAAAAACGTTGCCTGGTCTAACCAATCGCAATTTCTGTTGGGACATGCTGAAAGTAGGTGAGAATTCAGCATAAACCTTCAAAATATAATGGAACATGAAAGTCACAGCATGAATGTACAGTTGACAAATCTGCAGCAACTGCATGATGGTATTATGTCAACATGGACAAGGATCCCTCAGGAATATTTCCAGCCCTCAGTTGCTGTCATTGTCAAGTTAGTATTTAAATGTGGCGCCTTATTGCCTTGATGTCTGGGTCTGTGACGTCATCACCCAGAACGTAGAACCGCCATTGCTCCAGCCACTCGTACCAAACAAAGACCACTATTTGATATTTTGCGCCTAATTCGCCGTTCTTCGTGGCTATCGTGCTATAGGTGAGTTGAGCAAGCATAAAGTGGGAGGCGGGTTAGGCCGAGGAAGCCTAGAGAGGGATTATAAGGAAAGACATTGCCTGGGGAGAGGCACTAGATAACGGCGGAATGATACCTGGCGGGGGGAGTAAGAAAACAAAACAACTAAGACACTTGACAGCTTGATGCTCTCATTTACAACAATCAATTACCCTCTCTCACCTGTTGCTGAAAATTTTATGAATAAATATGTCGTGCAAGTGGAGGCAGGAGACCTACTTGTGCCTGTGGGTGGCATTAGCCAGCCATGGTGCCAGCAAACTAACAAGCAATTATTTCACCTCACCTCCCATTATCTGTGGAAATATAATTGGTTAAGGGGACATTAATATGAACTTTAATCCATAAACAAATAATTTGGTCTCTACAGCGGCCTGGTCTACGTACATAGGTGTGATTCGACCCTCGGTGCCAGCCTGGGTTATGTATGAGGCAGCGAGATCAAATTTGTGTCGCCATAAGTTAAATCTTGACTATAGCCCCTCAAGGGGGGTTCCTTGATGCTGGTGAGGGGCTCTTGATCTAGGGAATTGGATCTGTGCTCCAGTTTCCTGAATTGAGGCTGAATACCTTCCATCCCCCTTCCCCCACAGACGCTGTATAATCCCTTTGGGTTTAGCGCTCCCCATGATTATAATTTACTCTATCACCAGTACCTTTAAAGTGAAGTTCCTTGATGTCGGTGAACGACTCTTGATCCAGGAGATTAGGGAGATCTGTAAATTGGACCTTATTGCCTCATACTAGCCAGATGCTGTATGACCCCTGTGGGTTTACCGCTCCCATCCCCCTGGGAGGAGGTCCATTGATGCCTGTGAAAGGCTCTTCATCCAAGGAATTTCATTCACCCTCCCTCTTGATTACCTCATTCCCCAGGGGCTCGATGACTCCAACTGGTTTAGAGCTTTAGCATGAATAATAAGTAGTGCTTCAAAATAATAATAAGAATAATAATAATGTTAGTGTTCTTCAGTGGTAGAGATCTCATCAACCTGGGAGTTGAACCTTCCTTCCCCTTCCCTTGGATTGAACCTGATATCTCCCATCCCTTAAGTGCTGTATGCCCCCTATGGGATTAGTGCTTTCCCATGAATGTAATAATATTCCTATACAGTGTACTTTTTTTTTTATAACATCGGCCGCTTCTCACCAAGGCAGGGTGACCTGTAAAAGAAGAAACACTTATCATCACTCACTTCATCACTTGTCTTGCTAGAGGCATGCTGATGCTACATTTAAAAAATATGATAATAGGAAAAGTACATGTTTATGATTGCTGTTTGCCAGATTTCGGTCATTAGTTTGAGTTTTGGAATATTAAATTTTTTTTACAGTTATGATACACATTTTCTTGTGTTAGTTTAATAGTTTAATATGTTTATTAGGCACCCTATACCCATCCTGTGGATGGTGTGCTAACCTAATGTAACATAACCTTACTCTGTCATTAGTAGATTTGCATCTTTGTGTACATTCAGCTAGATGTGTGCCATGACTACTAGTATTGATTCTCTGATGTCCTGTGTAACCTAAATAAATTTTCTGTTTTCACGAATGTCTCCCAAAGTAGCAGCTTGACAAGAAATGTTAATTCCATGGTGTACACGGGTTGTATGTATTGTATAATGTAAACTAATGCCCAAGTTCCACTGAGTAGTAGTCATAACTATAGTCTAATAATTTATAAAGGAAGTCTCTAAAACATATAGATTTAACATATACAGAGCTGGCTTGTTTTTCACTGAGTACGTAATTAATTCCTTTAACATTACCAGTGCTAGAGATTCTTTTTCAGTATTAAATCAGTTTTTTTTAGCATTGATAAAATTATTTACAAGTACCCAAATTATTACATACACCAGCACACCTGCTTCATGTCAGAAGTCTTTGATGCCCTGGCATACTTATTGGGCCTTCCCTTTTCTTTGACAGTCCCCTGCAAATTACATACTTAGTCCCTGCACAGAAATAAACAATTTATTGAGACTTCTGGTTTTACACTTTACTCATGAACAGTTTAACGTAAGGTCCAGCTTTCTGAGTGATCAGGAGCCTACCTGATTTGAACATGAGCTTGGCTGATTATTTATTGTCCTTGATTCATGATATACGGCATTCCATAATTTATCAGTGTGTGTCTAAGTTGCATCAATAAAATGTTAATTTAATAAAGAATACTAAAATACTATTATATCCTAGGGAGCATTCAGTCACACCTAACCGAGGCTTCATTCACCCCAGGAGGTCATGCACCCCTATTAGGACAAGCCTGAATTAGAGCTAACCCCTTACAGGTGTAGCTCTTTCCACTGAATATAATAATAATAATAATAATAATAAATCTCCCATTTCCCTTCCATCTTTCACATCTGCTGTGCAGTGCTGAATGACCCTTAAAGGTTTAGCACTTCTTCTTTAGCTCTTATAGAAATATAATTTCGTAAAGTTGAAAATACGCCCATCTATGAATTTAGGTTATGGGTATTTATTGAAGTTAAATAAAATGGCCCTTGCCTTGTTGGTCCTGTGAGAGTGGCTGCTTAAAAGTTTATTTTAAATGACTATTAATTTGTTAGTTAAAAAAACCTCATTACCCTGCAGAAACATGGAGGTAGGGGAGGTGACAACCAGTGGCCTAGGCCCGGGTACAGTAGTAGTTAACAGCGATGGAGAGCTTCAGTATGATCTCACTCAACAGTCTGGGTCATTCTTGACCAACACTCATATCGTACCCCATGGTAAGTCATCATTCCTTACATGCATGTGTATTTGTTCATTGATGATAGGACAAATTTGCAGTGGAGACTAGACTTATATATATAAATACTTTTTATATAAAAGTGAATTTACAGGTTTATTGGAGACATGATTTGTGTAGTGGAACTGGATTTAGTTTAGTAAACATAAAATTGTATAAGGTTTATCTTTTATCTAGAATACTGCTCAGTTCTCACCTCTCTCAAGGCAGGAAATGTCTGTGCTAGAAAATATAAAAAACTTTCTTTTACTGTTTGCATAACAAGCATATGGAATGGAAAGGTGATACATGAAAACTATTTTGTTATGTCACTAATCTGCACACTGTAATAACTTAAGGAGTGAGAGATACATACTGTAGATACAGGACACATATCCTGTGAGAGGTATGGATACTATGAACGATTAGAGGACACTATATCAACTTCCAAAGTAAATCATTCTTGAATTATTTATTGGTAAATGTAAGAAATATTTCCAGAATTAAGTTTAAAAATCCTTAAGACTACTGGATGAGTGTTTGCACTAGGTCCCTAATCAGGCCAATTGTAATGGCCATATGGGCTTGTGGGTCACATGCAGCAATAGGCTGACTGATTAGAGGAAGTAAGAAGGTAAGCCTATGCTTTACCCAGACTGCAAGTGCTGAAAAAGTACAAACCGATCATATCTAGTGGAGATAGGACCATTACAGTACAGATATGGCTAATTTAGCTGGATAAATTACATTTGTAGTTTATTTCTGCTAGTCTAGTTTTTTTATGCTAGTACAATTGAATTAAAGTTTTTTACTCAAAACAATTATTTCCTTTTATATCAGCTGCTGTATTGTATATAATTTATGTAATGAAAGTGCTCTCTTAGTGGAAATTATGTCCAGTATATGTTGATTAATAATGTTTTTTTTCTTTAAATTTTCTAAACAACCTCAGTCTCTTTCTCCTTTAATTTTGTTAAGAATAACTAAATAAGGATTCAATTATATTATTAATTTTTAATCAACAGGAACACTAGCAGACGGAAGTGGGACAGTGCTAAGTCTGCCTATTCAGTTAGTACAATTACATGACCCTGGGGGTGATGTGGGTGTTGGCCGAACTGGTAATGTGTCTTCAGGAATGCCAGGATTCACTGGTCATATAATTATCAAGAATAATCCTGATGGCACTCGGACACTTCTTCTCGACCCATCTGAAGTTGGAGTAAGAGATTTTATATAGCTTTGCCAGTATTCCATGATTAGTTACAGTAAAGCTTGAAGTACCAGGAATGGTTGTGACAAAATAAATGGTAAAGTGGAGGTTACTTGCACCTAATCTGTGATATATTTTATAAATTTGTTAAAGTTTGAGTTGGAGGTAAACTTAAGCAGTTCATAAAGCATGTTGTCTGAGCAGTATATGTTTATTTCCTATCCATTCAGTTATCAGTTACTGGAGATGATGGAGGAGAAAGCCATTTAATACCACTGCAGGACACTTCTGAAGTAGCAGTTGGACCTTCTCTAAATGATCTTCAAGAGAGGTAATCATTGCATGTTAATACTGTTAGAGAATGTAGCGACAACGAGCGTAAAGGACAGGAATTCTGTAATGCAAGGAAAGTTGATATGTTGTAGATTATAATGTTATAGATTATACTCAAGAGATGTTACACATGAGTTTGAGATGTTACTCACTGAGACAGCAGTAGAATGTAAAGATACTATAATCTAAGTTATAAAAGGGATTCATTTTTAACTAAATATCATATAAAATGTTTAAATTTTCTTTAAGGAACATATGCTGCTCTTAAATTAAAAGATGTCTTGAGATATTTTGATGATTAAGGAATGGATGCAGCTATGATGAATTATTTTTATTCAACTAACAGCATACTGTAAGTACTTTAAAGAGAATGGAAAACATAATAACAAAATTTTCAAAGAAATTTCAACTAGTAATTTACATTACTTTGATATGCAAGTGAAAAAGGACACACAGGATGGACCACCTTATTGAAACTAATTTTCGTTTGTTTTTGAACTGGATGTAGTTAACCCTTTGGGGGTTTCGGCCATACTAGTGCGGCTTACGCCCCAGGGTTTATGATGTACTAGTACACCTAAATTCTAGCACCCTCAAATCTAGTGAGAGAAAGCTGGTAGGCCTACATATGAAAGAATGGGTCTATGTGGTCAGTGTGCGCAGTATAAAAAAAATCCTGCAGCACACAGTGCGTAATGAGAAAAAAAAAAACTTTGACCGTGTTTTTGGATTAAAACAGCGACTTTGCACTGTATTTTTGTATGGTATTTATTGTTGTATTCTAGTTTTCCTGGTCTCATTTTATAGAATGGAAGACATATTACAGAAATTGAGATGATTTTGACTATTTTTACAATGAAAAGTACCTTGAAATTGAGCTCAAAGTAGCAGAAATCTTTGATTTTTACCAAAGTTCAAAAGTAAACAGATCATGCCAAGCGTCCAATACACGTCAATTGGTAAGCCTAATATTCTTTCACAAGTGCGCTGATATTATTTATACATTTTCTACACTAATGCAGTAGTCTGCATAACAGTAATTCTTCTATTTTTTGTAAGAATAAAAATTCAAAGTGGAAAGCCAAAGAAATATAAGAGGGGCTTGGGGATGTGACTAACGAACAGAGAACTTGTTATTTTAGTGCCAGGAATGTCTTTCTTGTTTATTCTGGACCCTATTCAGAAATTGGCATCTTTTGAAATTTGTGTGAAATTGGCAAAATTGCTAAATTCTGACCACTGTATTGGATAGTTGAAATCGGTAAATGGGTGGTTTCTTGTACTCATTAGATAGAAAAAATGGAGTTCTAGTGAAATAGTTATGATTTTTGTCGACTAGTACACTGGAATTGGCTGAAAATAGGGTCAAAGTGGGCAAAATCGCCGATGCAAAAACATTGTCAAGACCGCTAACTTCGCGAGAGCCTAATTCCGTAAGTTTTCTTTCAAATTTCATACTTTTGGTGTCATTATGATCGGGAAAAGATTCTCTATCTTTTCGTAAGAAAAATAATTTTTTTTTTTTCTGAAATTTTGGCGACCCTGAGAACAAGTCTCTGAGAGGGCCAGGCGACCCCCAAAGGGTTAAAAGAATAAAGCAGGGAATGAGAATCTAAAATACAGCAAGTAATTATATATTGTGTGTGTGTGTGTGTGTGTGTGTGTGTGTGTGTGTGTGTGTGTGTGTGTGTGTGTGTGTGTGTGTGTGTGTGTGTGTCTGTGTGTCTGTACTCACCTAGTTGAGGTTGCAGGGGTCGAGCCCTAGCTCCTGGCCCCACTTCTTCACTTACCTGGAGGTTATTCCAGGGATCAACGCCCCCACGGCCCGGTCCATGACCAGGCCTCCCGATGGATCAGGGCTATCAATTAGGCTGTTACTGCTGGCCGCATGCAGTCCAACGTACGAGCCACAGCCCGGCTGATCTGGCACTGACTTTAGGTATCTGTCCAGCTCTCTCTTGAAGGCAGCCAGGGGCTTATTGGCAATTCCCCTAATGCTTGATGGGAGGCTGTTGAACAGTTTTGGGCCCCGGACACTTATGGTGTTTTCCCTTAGTGTACCAATGGTGCCCCTACTTTTTATTGGGGGCATTTTGCACCGCCTTCCCAGTCTTTTACTTTCGTAGCAAGTGATTTCTGTGTGCAGATTTGGGACCATTCCTTCCAAGATTTTCCAAGTGTAGATTATGATACATCTCTCCCTCCTGCGTTCCAACAAGTACAAGTCAAGTGCTTCCAAGCGTTCCCAGTAGTTAAGGTGCTTGACAGAACTTATACATGCAGTAAAGGATCTCTGTACACTCTCTAGATCTGCGATTTCACCTGCTTTGAATGGAGATGTTAATGTACAGCAGTATTCCAGCCTAGAGAGAACAAGTGATTTGAAAAGGATCATCATTGGCTTGGCATCTCTCGTTTTGAAAGTTCTCATTATCCATCCTATCATTTTCTTTGCACGTGCGATCGTGGCACTGTTGTGATCCTTGTAAGTGAGATCCTCAGACATTACTACTCCCAGGTCCCTTACATTATTTTTCCGCTCTATTGTATGGCCGGAGTCAGTAGTATACTCTGTTCTAGTTATTATCTCCTCCAGTTTTCCATAACGGAGTAGTTGGAATTTGTCCTCATTGAACATCATATTGTTTACCGTTGCCCACTGGAAAACTTTGTTTATATCTTCTTGGAGGTTAACCGCGTCCTCAGCAGATGACAGCCTCATGCAGATCCTAGTATCATCCGCAAAGGATGATACGGTGCTGTGGTGTATATCTCTGTCTATGTCTGATATGAGGATAAGGAATAAGATGGGGGCGAGTACTGTGCCTTGTGGAACAGAGCTCTTCACTATTGCAGCCTCCGATTTAACTCTGTTGACCACTACTCTTTGTGTTCAATTTGTTAGGAAGTTGAAGATCCATCTCCCCACTTTCCCAGTTATTCCTTTAGCATGTATTTTATGGGCTATTATGCCATGATCGCATTTGTCAAATGCTTTTGCAAAGTCTGTGTATATTACATCTGCATTCTGATTTTCTTCCAGTGCATCCAAGGCCACTAGGTCGCTACTAGGTCACTCTCCCTGAACCTTGAGCTTTGTCATACCTCTGCTTAAAGCTGTGTATAGATCCTGCCTCCACTACATCGCTTCCCAAACTATTCCACTTCCTGATTACACTGTGGTTGAAGAAATATGTGTGTGTGTCTGTGTGTACTCACCTAATTGTGGTTGCAGGGGTCGAGACTCAGCTCCTGGCCCCGCCTCTTCACTGAGTGCTACTAGGTCCTCTCTCTCCGTGCTCCATGAGCTTTATCATACCTCATCTTTAAAGCTATGTATGGTTCCTGCCTCCAATACCTCACTTGCTAGGCTATTCCACTTCCTGATTACTCTATGACTGAAGAAATACTTCCTAACATACCTTTGACTCATTAGGGTGTTCAACTTCCAATTGTGACCCCTTGTTTCTGTGTGAGTGTGTGTGTGTGTGTACTCACCTAATTGTACTCACCTAATTGTGGTTGCAGGGGTCGAGACTCAGCTCCTGGCCCCGCCTCTTCACTGATCGCTACTAGGTCCTCTCCCTCTCTGCTTCCTGAGCTTTGTCATACCTCTTCTTAAAACTATGTATGGTTCCTGCCTCCAGTACTTCACTTGCTAGGCTATTCCACTTCCTGACGACTCTATGACTGAAGAAATACTTCCTAACGTCCCTGTGACTCGTCTGAGTCTTCAGTTTCCAGTTGTGACCCCTTGTTTCTGTGTCCCCTCTCTGGAACATCCAATCTCTGTCCACCTTGTCTATTCCCCGCAGTATCTTGTATGTCGTTATCATATCTCCCCTGACCCTTCTGTCCTCCAGTGTCGTCAGTCCGATTTCCCTCAATCTTTCCTCGTACGACATTCCCCTGAGCTCTGGGACTAGCCTTGTTGCAAACCTTAGTACTTTCTCTAACTTCTTGAGAAAGTGTGTGTGTGTACGTGTGTGTGTACGTGTGTGTGTGTGTGTACGTGTGTGTACTCACCTAGTACTCACCTAGTTGAGGTTGAGGGGGTTGAGTCCGAGCTCCTGGCCCCGCCTCTTCACTGATCGCTACTAGGTCACTCTCCCTGAGCCGTGAGCTTTATCATACCTCTGCTTAAAGCTATGTATGGATCCTGCCTCCACTACATCGCTTCCCAAACTATTCCACTTACTGACTACTCTGTGGCTGAAGAAATACTTCCTAACATCCCTGTGATTCATCTATGTCTTCAGCTTCCACTTGTGTCCCCTTGTTACTGTGTCCAATCTCTGGAACATCCTGTCTTTGTCCACCTTGTCAATTCCTCTCAGTATTTTGTATGTCGTTATCATGTCCCCCCTATCTCTCCTGTCCTCCAGTGTCGTCAGGTTGATTTCCCTTAACCTCTCCTCGTAGGACATACCTCTTAGCTCTGGGACTAGTCTTGTTGCAAACCTTTGCACTTTCTCTAGTTTCTTCACGTGCTTGGCTAGGTGTGGGTTCCAAACTGGTGCCGCATACTCCAATATGGGCCTAACGTACACGGTGTACAGGGTCCTGAATGATTCCTTATTAAGATGTCGGAATGCTGTTCTGAGGTTTGCTAGGCGCCCATATGCTGCAGCAGTTATTTGGTTGATGTGCGCTTCAGGAGATGTGCCTGGTGTTATACTCACCCCAAGATCTTTTTCCTTGAGTGAGGTTTGTAGTCTCTGACCCCCTAGACTGTACTCCGTCTGCGGCCTTCTTTGCCCTTCCCCAATCTTCATGACTTTGCACTTGGTGGGATTGAACTCCAGGAGCCAATTGCTGGACCAGGTCTGCAGCCTGTCCAGATCCCTTTGTAGTTCTGCCTGGTCTTCGATCGAGTGAATTCTTCTCATCAACTTCACGTCATCTGCAAACAGGGACACCTCAGAGTCTATTCCTTCCGTCATGTCGTTCACAAATACCAGAAACAGCACTGGTCCTAGGACTGACCCCTGCGGGACCCCGCTGGTCACAGGTGCCCACTCTGACACCTTGCCACGTACCATGACTCGCTGCTGTGTGTGTGTGTGTGTGTGTGTGTGTGTGTGTGTGTGTGTGTGTGTGTGTGTGTGTGTGTGTGTGTGTGTGTGTGTGTGTGTGTGTGTGTGTGTGCATGCATGTGTTCGTGCGGGCGTTCATCTGTTTGTACTCGCCTATTTGTAGTTGTAGGAATTGATTCTTGGATCCTGGCCTTTCTTCAGTTGCCACTCTTCAGATCCTCTCCCTTGTAGCCTTGTGGGCCCTGTTGTACCTGCTCTTAAAACTATGTATGGAGCCTGCCTCTACCACTTTCTCAGCAAGACCTTTCCACTTCCTGACCACCTTGAAATTGAAGAAATACTTCTTAATATCCTGTAGCTCATCTGTATCTTTAATTTCCAGACGTGTCCCTGAGTTCCTGTTTCTGTTTTCTCTAACATCCTATCACTGTCTGCCTGAGTATTTTGTATATTATCATGTCTTCCCTAGTTCTTCTGTTCTCCAATGTTGTTATGTGTAATTCTGTTAGCTTCATCTCATAGCTCATGTCCCTTAACTCAGGAACAAGCCTTGTTTCATACTTATGCACTTTCTTCAGTTTCTTAACATGTGTGTCTGTATCTGTGTCTGAATGTTCAAACTACCTCAACAACCCTACCTAAGCCATGTGAATATTTTAAGTAATCTCACACATTCTTTTAATCTCCAAGTTCAGATTTCTTTGCATAATATACACACCACACATTGCCTTCAAACTCAGCATCACTGCCTCTAGCCTCCTCTTTGCTTCACACTATGTAACAGTGTTGATAAACTATACCTTTTTTGCCTCTTAGGATAAAATTCGTTTTTCTTTTTTGAGTCTATGGTTCATGTCTTCTTTCATAGACCCATCTGCCGTCAAGTTTTCTCCCACCTCCATACTCCCTTTATCAAGACTGATATCCAGTCTTTCATTGCTTAAATTTTTTTGGTATTATCTACACCTTGCTCTTTCCTCTGTTCACTTTTTATTTCTTTTTCACATCCTCCCAAATTCCTCGACAAACCTTTGCCACTTCTCTTCAGAATTAATTGTAGTATTATTTTTATTAAATTTTTATTAATACACTAGAACCTCTCATTAACCCTTTCAGGGTCGACAGGCCCTCTCCCAGACTTGTTCTCAGGTTCGACAAATTTTCAAAAAGAGAATTATTTTTTCTTATGAATAGATAGAGAATCTTTTCCCCGATCATAATGACACCAAAAGTATGAAATTTGATGGAAAACTTACGGAATTAGGCTTTCATGAAGCTAGCGGTCTCAAAGATGTTTACGCATTGGCGATTTTGCCCACTTTGAGCCCTATTTTTGGCCAATTCCAGTGTACTAGTCGACAAAAATCGTAACTATTTCACTAGAATTCCATTTTTTCTATCGAATGAGTACAAGAACCCACCCATTTACCGATTTAAACTATCCAATAAAGTGGTCAGAATTTAGCAATCTTGCCAATTTCACACAAATTTCAAAAAATGCCAATTTCCAAATAGGGTCCAGAATAAACAAGAAAGACATTCCTGGCACAAAAATAACATTTCCTCTGTTCATTAGTCACGTCCCCACGCCCCTCTTACATTCTTTTGCTTTCCACTTTGAATTTTTATTCTCACAAAAAATAGAAGATTTACTGTTATGCAGACTACTGCATTATTGTAGAAATGGTATAAATAATATCAGCGCACTTGTGAAAGAATATTAGACTCACCAGTTGACGTGTATTGGATGCGTAGCATGATTTGTTTACTTTTGAACTTTGGGAAAAATCGAAGATTTCTGCTACTTTGAGCTCAATTTCAAGGTACTTTTCACTGTAAAACCAATCAAAATTGTCTCAATTTCTGTAATATTTCTTCCATTCTATAAAATAAGACCAGGAAAACTAGAATACCATCATGAATACCATACGAAAATACAGTGCAAAGTCGCTGTTTTAAACCAAAAACACTGTCAAAGTTTTTTTTTCTCATTACGCACTGTGTGCTGCAGGATTTTTTTTATACTGCGCACACTGACCACACAGACCCATTCTTTCATATGTAGGCCTACCAGCTTTCTCTCACTAGATTTGAGGGCGCTAGAATTTAGGCGTACTAGTACGTCAAAAACCCTGAAAGGGTTAATGAATTACTTGGGGGAAGAAGGTGTACAAAAATCCCAGTTGTTTACAAATCTTGAATTATGAAATTAATATTTCATGATCATCCAGTTGTTTTATGAAGTAGTGGACTTGGTATGCTAATGCATAAGACAACTGGACACTAAGAATGTAGTACTACAGCACAGTATGTATAGTAATTTTATAGTACTCTTCATAATTTATAAATACCTTCTCTTAGTGGAGAGATGAGATGTAAACTGATGTGACCAATAATGTTGATTCAGAATAACTTGTCCCAAATCATAAGAGCTTTACAGCTCTGCTAGTGAAAATAATGTAGTTGTCTGAGATGTAGAGGGCTGTGAAGATGTAGATAGCTGAGAAGATGTAGAAGCTGAGATGTAGAGGGCTGAGAAGTCATAGATAGCTAAGAAGAGGTAGCTCTCTGAGAACCATATGTTTTCTCTTGGAACCACCACTTTAGTTAGTATGTCTATAAGAGCATACAAACTGCTCTAAATCCAGGAAATATCAAAGACTGAATGATGATTGTATGCTTGAGTGAGCACAATAAATAAACAGGCAACGATGGTCTACGGCTCATTGAACTTTGAAAACAGACAGATCCTGGACATGGCTGCTTTGGCCCTTACTGTACAGGTGTTAGATTTAGCAGACTTGGCTTGATACTTCAAAAGACAACCAGATACTTATTGCTATGGCTGATATGCAGAATTATGGACTTTTGTCTATTTTATCCAATAATTAAGAGCTTTTGTCTGGCCAATTTTTTTGTTTGAAATTTCTGAAATCTGTTAATCTGTATCCCACCTTAGGAGGGTGGCCAAAAAAGTAAAATGAAAGTTTCTCTTTTCAACTTTAGTAATGTATTCTGTTCCACTTTCCCATGGAGATAAGAGTAAATAAACAAGAGCAAGACTTGGTAAGAAAATAGAAGAAAACCCAGAGGGGTGTGTGTATATATATGCTTGTACATGCATTTGTAGTGTGACCTGAGTGTAAGTAGAAGTAGTAAGATATACCTGAAATCATGCATGTTTATGAGACAGAAAAAAAGACACCACCAATCCTTTCTTCTTTCAACGCATTGGCTGTAGCTTACCTAGTGACTCAAAAGGAAAAACGAAAGTTTTTCCTTTTAAATTTAGTAATATACATATACAGGAGAAGGGGTAACTAGCCCCTTGCTCCCGGCATTTTAGCCGCTTCTTACAACACGCAAGGCTTACGGAGGAAGAATTCTGTTCCACTTACGCATGAAGATAAGAGGAAATAAACAAGAACAAGAACTAATAAGAAAATAGAAGAAAACCCAGAGGCGTGTGTACATATTTGCTTGTACATGCATGTGGAGTGTGACCTAAGTGTCAGTGGAAGTAGCAAGATGTACATGAAATCTTGCACGTTTATGGGACAGAAAAAAGACACCAACAGTCCTACCAACATGCAAAACAAATACAAACTTTCATTTTACACTCACTTGGTAGGACGGTAGTACCTCCCTGGGCTGTTGCTATCTTCCAACCTACTACGTAGGTGTCTTCATTATTATTACTACATAAAATGTATTTGTCTTGCAGAAGTGGGTTCCTACAACTAGATGAAGGCATGGTAACAGTGACCCATGATGGAAGTGAGATTGGCCAGGGTGGAGTAATTTTGGCCAGTACTGGCGACTACCTCACACAAAAAGATGGTACCATCCCACAGTTTGCATCTCTTAACATTGTTGATGGACAAGTGAGTTACTTAACTTTTGTTTTTCCACTAGCATTATAAAGAGTAATACAGAATATTACTGCCTCTTAAAGCATGGCCCAGTTGTTTAGATCACAGCCAGAAATGTGAACAGTTTTTGAACCATCCCTTCAGTTAATATATGAGCATACACAGTTGGTAAGATGATGAGGGTATCAAATGATTTAGATAAAGAAAAATTGGATATCAAATTGGGGAGGAGGAGTATGGAAGAAGTGAATGTTTTCAGATATTTGGGAGTTGACGTGTCAGCGGATGGATTTATGAAGGATGACGTTAATCATAGAATTGATGAAGAAAAAAAGGCGAGTGGTGTGTTGAGGTATATGTGGAGACAAAAAAACGTTATCTATGGAGGCAAAAAAGGGAATATATGAAAGTATAGTAGTACCAATACTCTTATATGGGTGTGAAGCTTGGATTGTAAATGCTGCAGCAAGGAGGCAGTTGGAGGCAGTGGAGATGTCCTGTCTAAGGGCAATGTGTGGTGTAAATATTATGCAGAAGATTCGGAGTGTAGAAATTTGGAGGTGTGGAGTTAATAAAAGTATTAGTCAGAGGGCTGAAGAGGGGTTGTTGAGGTGGTTTGGTCATTTAGAGAGAATGGATCAAAGTAGAATGACATGGAGAGTGTATAAATCTGTAGGGAAAGGAAGGTGAGATAGGGGTCATCCTCGAAAAGGTTGGAGGGAGGGGGGTAAAGGAGGTTTTGTGGGCGAAGGGCTTGGACTTCCAGCAAGCGTGCGTGAGCGTGTTAGATAGGAGTGAATGGAGATGAATGGTATTTGGGACCTGACAAGCTGTTGGAGTGTGAGCAGGGTAATATTTAGTGAAGGGATTCAGGGAAACCGGTTATTTTTGTATAGCCAGACTTGAGTCCTGGAAATGGGAAGTACAATGCCTGCACTTTAAAGGAGGGGTTTGGGATATTGGCAGTTTGGAGGGATATGTTGTGTACCTTTATACATACAGTGGACCCCAGCATAACGATTACCTCCGAATGCGACCAATTATGTAAGTGTATTTATGTAAGTGCGTTTGTACGTGTATGTTTGGGGGTCTGAAATGGACTAATCTACTTCACAATATTTCTTATGGGAACAAATTCGGTCAGTACTGGCACCTGAACATACTTCTGGAGTGAAAAAATATCGTTAACCGGGGGTCCACTGTATATGCTTCTAAACTGTTGTATTCTGAGCACCTCTGCAAAAACAGTGATTATGTGTGAGTGAGGTGAAAGTGTTGAATGATGATGAAAGTATTTTCTTTTTGGAGATTTTCTTTTTTTTTGGGTCACCGTGCCTTGGTGGGAGACGGCCGACTTGTTAAAAAAAAAAAAAACAGTTGGTTTTCTATGTAGTACTGTACATACATCTTGTTTAATGAACTTAAATGACTTCATTTACTTTTGAATATGGGTGTCTATAAATAACAGATTTCTCCATGTTCAGGTGAAGATATGAATTTAATTGCTGAAATAAGATTATTCTTCTGTCACTGTGATAGTGTGAATGGTGGTGAAAGTTTTTCTTTTTCGGATCACCCTGCCTCAGTTGGAGATGGCCAGTGTGTTAAAAAAAAGTTGTTCTCTTAAGTAGCTTTAGTGGTTATATTGTATTATTTTTCCAGATGGTCTTAACAGCCACTGAAGCGGGTATTGATGATACAGTAACTCTAGAAGGAGGCAACTTAATAAATTCAGAAATACCTACACCAGAACCAGTTTTGCCTACACAACAGCCCATCTCCATTAAAACAAAGGTATAGTCTGTTGAAAATTCTTTATGGTATGTATTTATCTTCTTTTCTTATACTGGTGACTCATTCTTTCTTTCAACACACCAGCCGTATCCCACCGAGGTGGGGTGGCCCAAAAGGAAAAACAAAAGTTTCTCCTTTCATATTTAGTAATATATACAGGAGAAGGGGTTACTAGCCCCTTGCTCCTGGCATTTTAGTCGCCTCTTACAACACGCATAGCTTACGGAGGAAGAATTCTGTTCCACTTCCCCATGGAGATAAGAGGAAATAAACAAGAACAAGAGCTAGTAAGAAAATAGAAGAAAACCCAGAGGGGTGTGTATACATATGCTTGTACATGTATGTGTAGTGTGACCTAAGTGTAAGCAGAAGTAGCAAGACGTACCTGAAACCTTGCATGTTTATGAGACAGAAAAAACACCAGCAATCCTACCATCGTGTAAAACAATTACAGGCTTACGTTTTACACTCACTTGGCAGGACGGTAGTACCTCCCTGGGCGGTTGCTGTCTACCAACCTACTACCTAGGACTGGTGACTCATATGAACAGTATTTATATACTGGATATAAAGACACAATATCCAGAGCAAGTTTTTGTTGGGACTATGTCTGTTTCAAGGTTAAGCTTTATCACTTGATAAAGGTCAGTCCCAGTCAAGCTTTTCCTACATTCTACGTCTTTATGTCCATACCTCCCCTCAAGGAAGGTTCCTTGATGTTGGTGAGGGGCTCTTGATTTAGGGAATTGGATCTGTGCTCCAGTTCCCCGAATTAAGCCTGAATGCCTTCCACATCCCCCCCCCCCAGGCGCTGTATAATCCTCCGGGTTTAGCGCTTCCCCCTTGATTATAATAATAATAATATGTCCATACCTGTCTGCATTATTCCTCTACATTCAGCATCATGCCTCTACATTCAGCATCATGCCTCTACATTCAGCATAATACCTCCACATTCAGCATTATACCTGTACATTCAGTATTCATCTACATTAAACCCTTACTTTGGCAGACTAATAGGGAAAGCAGGTGGCCAGTAATGGTGCTTGTTCATTAATTCTATACAGTAGTTCTTATTCCTTTAATATTCCCCTTTAAATTTAGGAGGCATGGTCCGACACTGGGTTATAGGGGCAGAACTACTAATATATAACAGCTGTATCTTTATACATATTGATTCAGAGCTTTTGTATGTTTCATGTGTTTGGATTTTTTAGCTTGTCATTATTGATATGTTATTGTGGCAAAGTTTTTGTAACAAGAAATGAATATGCTAAAAGCATTAAAGAGTGTTTTCACTGACAGTGAAGCTAAGGTTAGGGTGTGTAGGAGAGAGATTATTATTTTCCAGTAATAGTAGGCCTTAGACAGGGATGTGTGATGTCACCATGGTTGTTTAACATATTTATAGCTGGAGTTGTACAAGAAGTGAATGCTAGAGTGTTGGACAGCGTGTAGGATTAGAAGATAATGAACCACATACACAGTGGTAGTTGTCACAGTTGCTCTTTGTCAGTGACAGTTCTTTGGGAGATTCAGAAGAGGAGTTTCAGAAGCTGATGAATGGATCTAAATAATACTTACATATTTACCTTAGCATAAACACTTGATCCATGTATAATTTTTTCTTACAAAATTCACCTTGTTCCTCTGTAATCTTACTTTTTACCTTTTCCCTAACTTTATCAATAATAATTTTGTTGTACCTTCAGTTGGTACTCTAAACATTTATTCTCTTATGTTTTTTACACTCACTTTTGTACCCTTTAGCCATACACAAAGGAGCTATGAATGCTCTCTGCAAATCCTTAGGTATTCCTTTCTTTTTCCGCTAATCAAATTTAAAAACTATGCCAAAACTCGAAACTATTTTCCCACCTGCTTTCAGCATATCAGTCTTAATCCCTTCTGTCCTCACTGCTGTATCCCACCTCACCCATTTCTGTGTCTTCTCATCTAGGAGGTCTTATTCCTCCTTGTTCTATACATGAAATCACTGCCTCCCTTTCATTATCTACATCTGAGAGGTTTGTGAGGGAAAAAAATATTTGTTTTGAAATGGAGAAATGTTGCCCACTCAATTAATCAATTAAACTTGAAAGTGAACATAGAAAAGAGTAAGGTGATGAGGGCATCAAATGATTTAGATAAAGAAAAATTGGATATCAAATTGGGGAGGAGGAGTATGGAAGAAGTGAAAGTTTTCAGATACGTACTTGGGAGTTGACGTGTCGGCGGATGGATTTATGAAGGATGAGGTTATCATAGAATTGATGAGGGAAAAAAGGTGAGTGGTGCATTGAGGTATATGTGGAGACAAAAAACGTTATCTATGGAGGCAAAGAAGGGAATGTATGAAAGTATAGTAGTACCAACACTCTTATATGGGTGTGAAGCTGGGGTTGTAAATGCAGCAGCGAGGAGGCGGTTGGAGGCAGTGGAGATGTCCTGTCTAAGGGCAGTGTGTGGTGTAAATATTATGCAGAAAATTCGGAGTGTGGAAATTTGGAGAAGGTGTGGAGTTAACAAAAGTATTAGTCAGAGGGCTAAAGAGGGGTTGTTGAGGTGGTTTGGTCATTTAGAGAGAATAGATCAAAGTAGAATGACATGGAGAGCTTATAAATCTGTACGGGAAGGAAGGCGGGGTAGGGGTCATCCTCGAAAATGTTGGAGGGAGGGGGTAAAGGAGGTGTTGTGGGCGAGGGGTTTGGACTTCCACCAAGCGTGCGTGAGCATGTTAGATAGAAGTGAATGGAGATGAATGGTATTAGGGAACTGACGATCTGTTGGAGTGTGAGCAGGGTAACATTTAGTGAAGGGATTCAGGGAAACCGGTTATTTTTATATAGCCGGACTTGAGTCCTGGAAATGGGAAGTACAATGCCTGCACTCTAAAGGAGGGGTTTGGGATATTGGCAGTTTGGAGGGATATGTTGTGTATCTTTATCTTTAGGTATATGCTTCTAAGCTGTTGTGTTCTGGGCACCTCTGCAAAAACAGTGATTATGTGTGAGTGAGGTGAAAGTGTTGAATGATGATGAAAGTATTTTCTTTTTGGGGATTTTCTTTCTCTTTGGGTCACCCTGCCTTGGTGGGAGACGGCCGACTTGTTGAAAAAAAAAAAATGTTTTATTAGGAGGGAGGGAGTGAAGGGGGATTCTCAGCACATTTTTTTTTTTTTTCAACAAGGCGGCCGTCTCCCACCGAGGCAGGGTGACCCAAAAAAGAAAGAAAATCCCCAAAAAGAAAATACTTTCATCATCATTCAACACTTTCACCACACTCACACATTATCACTGCTTTTGCAGAGGTGCTCAGAATACAACAGTTTAGAAGCATATACGTTTAAAGATACACAACATATCCCTCCAAACTGCCAATATCCCAAACCCCTCCTTTATAGTGCAGGCATTGTACTTCCCATTTCCAGGACTCAAGTCCGACTATATGAAAATAACCGGTTTCCCTGAATCCCTTCACTAAATATTACCCTGCTCACGCTCCAACAGATCGTCAGGTCCCAAGTATCATTCGTCTCCATTCACTCCTATCTAACACGCTCATGCACGCTTGCTGGAAGTCCAAGCCCCTCGCCCACAAAACCTCCTTTACCCCTTCTTTCCAACCCTTTCGAGGATGACCCCTACCCCTCCTTCCTTTCCCTATAGATTTATATGCTTTCCATGTCATTCTACTTTGATCCATTCTCTCTAAATGACCAAACCACCTCAACAACCCCTCTTCTGCCCTCTGACTAATGCTTTTATTAACTCCACACCTCCTAATTTCCACATTCCGAATTTTCTGCATAATATTTACACCACACATTGCCCTTAGACAGGACATCTCCACTGCCTCCAACCGTCTCCTTGCTGCTGCATTTACCACCCAAGCTTCACATCCATATAAGAGTGTTGGTACTACTATACTTTCATACATTCCCTTCTTTGCCTCCATAGATAACGTTTTTTGACTCCACATATACCTCAACGCACCACTCACCTTTTTTCCCTCATCAATTCTATGATTAACCTCATCCTTCATAAATCCATCCGCCGACACATCAACTCCCAAGTATCTGAAAACATTCACTTCTTCCATACTCCTCCTCCCCAATTTGATATCCAATTTTTCTTTATCTAAATCATTTGATGCCCTCATCACCTTACTCCTTTCTATGTTCACTTTCAACTTTCTACCTTTACACACATTCTCAAACTCATCCACTAACCTTTGCAATTTTTCTTTAGAATCTCCCATAAGCACAGTATCATCAGCAAAAAGTAACTGTGTCAATTTCCATTTTGAATTTGATTCCCCATAATTTAACCCCACCCCTCTCCTGAACACCCTAGCATTTACTTCTTTTACAACCCTATCTATAAATATATTAAACAACCATGGTGACATTACACATCTCTGTCTAAGACCTACTTTTACCGGGAAGTATTCTCCCTCTCTTCTACACACCCTAACCTGAGCCTCACTATCCTCATAAAAGCTCTGTACAGCATTTAGTAACTTACCACCTATTCCATATACCTGCATCGTCTGCCACATTGCTCCTCTATCCACTCTATCATGTGCCTTTTCTAAATCCATAAATGCAATAAAAACTTCCCTTCCTTTATCTAAATACTGTTCACATATATGCTTCAATGTAAATACTTGATCTTCACATCCCCTACCCACTCTGAAGCCTCCCTGCTCATCCGCAATCCTACATTCTGTCTTACCTCTAATTCTTTCAATTATAACCCTACCGTATACTTTTCCTGGTATACTCAGTAAACTTATTTCTCTATAATTTTTACAATTTATTTTGTCCCCTTTCCCTTTATATAAAGGGACTATACATGGTCTCCGCCAATCCCTAGGTACCTTCCCCTCTTTCATACATTTATTAAACAAAAGTACCAACCACTCCAACCCTATATCCCCCCCTGCTTTTAACATTTCTGTCATGATCCCATCAGTTCCAGCTGCTTTACCCCCTTTCATTCTACATAATGCCTCACGTACCTCCCCCACACTTACATTCTGCTCTTCTTCACTCCTAAAAGATGGTATACCTCCCTGGCCAGTGCATGAAATTACCGCCTCCCTTTCTTCCTCAACATTTAAAAGTTCCTCAAAATATTCTCGCCATCTACCTAATACCTCCCTCTCCCCATCTACTAACTCCCCTACTCTGTATTTAACTGACAAATCCATACTTTCCCTAGGCTTTCTTAACTTGTTTAACTCACTCCAAAATTTTTTCTTATTTTCATTAAAATTTCTTGACAGTGCCTCTCCCACTCTATTATCTGCTCTCCTTTTGCACTCTCTCACCACTCTCTTCACCTTTCTTTTACTCTCCATATACTCTGCTCTTCTTATAACACTTCTGCTTTGTAAAAACCTCTCATAAGCTACCTTTTTCTCAGCACATACTATATATATTTTTATATTTTTTTAAGTTCAGATGAAGTACAGCTATTGCAGTTTTGTTTAATGTGCTCAGTAGCTCATTCTACACATGCTCTAGCAATTTTTTAATAATAATATACTTCATAAAAGATTTAATTACATTGTAATGTTTTCTTTATTTCTTTTCTCAATTTGCCATAGCCAAAGGTGGAACCTCCTGTAGGTAAAGGGCCATACACTTGTGAATATTGTAAAATGTCCATAGAAAAATGGCTTCAGTATAAGAAACATTTGAAGAAGCATTTAGAAGACAAGCCATACCGGTGTACTGAGTGTGATGCTACTTTCAATGTACAGGTAAGAAATGAAATGTTTTTTTCTGTAATGTATTCATTTTATAACAAAAATATTGGGAAATTCCAAGGAGAAGTTGCAAAGGTTAGTGGACAATTTTGGGAGGGTGTGTAGAGGAAGAAAGTTGAAAGTGAACATAGATAAGAGTAGGGGTTATGAGAGTATCAAACAGTTTAGATAAGGAAAAATTGGATATCAGATTGGAGGGAGGGAATATGGAAGAAGTGAATGTGCTCAGGTATTTGAGAGTAGATTTGTCAGTGGATGGGTTTATGAAGGATGAGGTAAACCATAGAATTGATGAAGGAATAAAGGTGGGTGGTGACTTGAGGTATCTATGAAGACAAAGAACTTTATCCCTGGAGGCAAAGAAGGGAATGTATGAGAGTATAGTGGTACCAACACTTATATGGGTGTGAAGCATGGGTTGTTAATGTTGCAGTGAGAAGGAGGCTGGAGGCAGAGGAGATGTCGTGTCTAAGGGCAATGTGTGGTGTAAATATTATGCAGAAAATTTGTAGTGTGGAAATTAGGAGGAGGTGTGGAGTTATTAGCCAGAGGGCTGAGGAGGGGTTGAGGTGGTTTAGTCATTTGGAGAGGATGGAGCAAAATAGGATGACTTGGAAGGTGTATCAATCTGTAGTGGAGGTAAGGAGGGGTAGGGGTTATACTAGGAAAGGATGGATGGAGGGCGTAAAAGACATTTTGTGTGCAAGGAGCTTGGACATACAGCAGGCATGTGTGGGCATGTTAGATAGGAGTGAGTGGAGACAAATGGTTTTTGAAACTTGATCTGTTTGAGTGTGAGCAGGGTAATATTTTGTGAAGGGATTCAGGGAAACTGTTTAGCCAAACTTGAGTCCTGGAAGTGGGAAAAACATAGCCTACTCTCTAAAGGATGGGTTTGGGATATTTGCTGTTTGGAGTGACATCTGAACTGTCATATCTGAGTGCCTCTGCCCAGACAGTGATTATGTGTGAATGATGGTGTGTTTCTTTCATTTGGGTCACCCTCACTCAGTGGGAGATGGCCAGCATGTTAAAAAAATAATCTGAAACAAATTACTCAGTATTCTATAAGTATTTTACTAGTTCCTCTTCTTAACCCTTAAACGGTCCAAACAGATCGACGTTCAAATTCTCAGTGCTACAAAAGTAGATCTACTTTTTTTTACATATTTTCAAATATAACAAAAAAAAATGTAGATAAAAATTTTTTTACACGTTTTCAAATGTAAAACAAAAAAGAAGATCTACATTTTTTTACATACTTTCAGATGTTGAAAAAATGTATATATACTTTTGGACCATTTAAGGGTTAATTACAGTAATTCTTTTAGAAAAATATGATTGATTCCAAGATGTTAGAAAATCAAGCTAAAAATCAGTCTCTCTATTTTTTCTTACTTTCTTTTATAAATGTACTGTATATTTTTTATTTTAACTAAAATCTCCTAAATAAGGGATGTAATAGATATTAATATTCATTGTGTGAATATTATGCAAAGAATTAGGTGAACAGAAATTAGAACACTGGGGTTTCATAAGGTACTGTATAATGTAATTATGAGGACAGATAAAGGAAGTACAATGCCTGCACTCTAAAGGAGGGGTTCGGGATATTGGCGGTTTGGAGGGATATGTTGCATATCTTTATACGTATATGCTTCTAAACTGTTGTATTCTGGGCACCTCTGCAAAAACAGTTATGTGTGAGTGAGGTGAAAGTGTTGAATGATAATGAAAGTATTTTCTTTTTGGGGATTTTCTCTCTTTTTTGGGTCACCCTGCCTCGGTGGGAGATGGCCAACTTGTTAAAAAAAAAATAAAGGATTGTTGAAGAGGTTTGGCCATTTAGAAAGAATGGAGCAGAATAGTTTGGAATGAGTGGAAATCAGTGTTTTTTGGGATTTCTTGTACAGTTGGAGTGTAAGCAAGGTACATTTATTAAGTCCTTTACTTTTGAAAGAGGAATGGGGATGTGTCTGCTTAGAGAATTATCTAACTTGTGATGTTTATGTTTCTGGTAACCCATCTTCTGTATAAATTACTTAATGTAAAGGGAAGAAAAACTTTCGTTTCTTCTTTTTTGGATCACCTCCCTAGGTGGAATACCTGGAGTTTACCTGGAGAGGGTTTTGGGGGCCAATGCCCCTGCGGCCCGGTCTGAGACCAGGCCTCATGGTGGATCAGGGTCTGATCAACCAGGCTGTTACTGCTGGCCACATGCAAGCTGACATACGAACTGCAGCCTGGTTGGTCAAGTACTGACTTTAGGTGCCTGTCCAGTGCCTTCTTCAAGACAGCCAGGGGTCTATTGGTAATCCTCCTTATGTATGCTGGGAGGCAATTGAACAGTCTTGGGCCTCGACACTTGTGTTGTCTCTAAGTGTACTTGTGGCACCCTTGCTTTTCATCAGGAGAATGTTGCATTTCCTGCTGAGTCTTTTGCTTTCATGGGGAGTGATTTTCTTGTGCAGGTTTGGTACCAATCCTTCTAGGACCTTCCAAGTGTATATTATCATGTATCTCACCTGCGTTCAAGGGAATGCAGATCAAGGACCTTCAACTGTTCCCAGTATTTTAAGTGCCTTATCGTACTTATGTGTGCCATAAAAGTTCTTTGTACACTCGCCAGGTCTGTAGTGTCACCAGCCTTGAAGGGGGGCCATTAGCGTACAGCAGTATTCCAGCCTAGAGAGCACAAGCGATTTGAAGAGAATCATCATGGGCTTGGAGTCCCTAGTTTTGAAGATTCTCATTATCCATCCTATCATTTTCCTAGCAGATGAGGTAGATACATTGTTGTGGTCTTTGAAGGCGAGATCCTCTGACATTATCACTCCCAGGTTCTTCACATTACTTTTCTGCTCTATTGTATGGTTAGAATTTGTTGTATACCCTGACACATTTTTAATTTCTTCAAGTTTCCCATATCTGAGTAGTTGAAATTTCTCCTCGTTGAACTTCATATTGTTTTTAGTGGCCCATTTGAAGATTTGGTTGATGCCCGCTTGGAGTCTTGCGGTGTCTTCGATGGAGGTCACTGCCATGGTAATCTGGGTGTCATCCGCAAAGGAAGATGTGGAGCTATGGCTTACATCTCTGTCTATGTCAGAAATGAGGATGAGGAATAGAATGGGAGCGAGTACTGTGCCTTGTGGAGCAGAGCTTTTTATCATGGCTGCCTGGGACTTTACTTTGTTTACTATTACTCTTTGTGTTCTATTTGTCAGGAAGTTGTAGATCCATCTACCAACTTTTCCCATTATTCCTTTATCCCGCATTTTGTGTGCTATTACACCATGGTCACACTTGTCAAAAGCTTTTGTAAAGTCTGTGTATATTACATCTATATTTTGTTTATCCTCTACAGCATCCAGGACCTTGTCATAGTGGTCTAGTAGCTGGAACAGGCAGAAGCGACCTGCTCTAAACCTGTGTTGCCCTGGGTTGTGTAATTGATGGGTGTCTAAGTGGTTGGCTTTTTTGCTTCTTAGAACCCTCTCAAAGATTTTTATGATATAGGATGTTAGTGCTGTCAGTCCGTAGTTCGTTGCAATTGCTTTACTGCCACCTTTGTGAAGTGGGGCTATGTCTGTTGTTTTTAGTGTGTGTGGGATGACCCCTGTGTCCATGCTCCCTCTCCATAAAATGCTGAAGGCACATGATAGGGGCTTCTTGCAATTCTTGATGAACACGGAGTTCCAAGAGTCTGGGCCTGGGGCAGAGTGCATGGGCATGTCATTAATTGCCTCTTCAAAGTCTTGTGGAGTTAGAATATTAACCGAGATTTTGAGGACGACCAAATATTGGTTTTCGTTCATAAAGAATTCATTTGGATTGTCGACCCTTAGTCTGGGCAGTGGCTCGCTGAACACTGAGTCATGTTGGGACTTTAGTATCTCACCCATTTCGTGGCTATCATCTGTGTATGTCCCATCCTGCCTAAGCAGCGGCCCAATACTGGATATTGTTTTTCCCTTAGATTTGGCATAAGAGAAGTATTTTGGATTTTTTCAATTTCCTTTATGGCTTTTAGTTCTTCCTGTTATTCTTGTCTCCTATAAGATTCCTTCACCTTAAGTTTGATATGTGCAATTTCATTGACTAGTGCCTCCCTTCGTATTTCAGATATATTGGCCCCACTCAGCAGCTCTGTGACTCTTTGCCTTCATCTGTATAGGGAACATCTCACTCTTTCTAGTTTACATCTTCTCTTTCTTTTTCTTAATGGAATGTGTCTTGAGCAGATCTCAGGAACCACAGAATTCATTTTTTCAAGGCAAATGTTTGAATCCGTGTTGCTTAGGATATCTTCCCAGTTTGTTTCATTTAGGACATGGTTTACTTGATCCCATTGTATGTTTTGTTATTGAAATTGAATTTTGTGAAGAGACCTTCATGACTGCTCACATTTTGCTGATCCGGAGCCCTGTGCATGTCTATACCTCTATTATGTTGTGATCTAAGTGTATTGTCCTTGATACAGTTATATTACATATCAGATCATCATTATTAGTGAAGATGAGGTCCAGCGTATTTTCTAGTCTTGTAGGCTCTACTATTTGCTGATTTAAGGTGAATTTGGTGCAGAGATTTAATAGTTTGTGTGTGTGTGTGAATTTTCATCTGAGCTGCCTCCTGGGGTGATCTCTCCTAAAACATTGTTTGCTATACTCCTCCATTTTAAGTGTCTCAAGTTGAAATCTAGTAGTAAAATGTTTGGGGCAGGAGTTGGGAGATTTTCCAGACAGTGGTCAATTTTCTCAAACTGCTCCTGGAATTGCTGGGAAGTTGCATCTGGAGGCTTGTACATATATTACCACAATGACAAGGTTTTGGTTTTCAGTCTTTACCGCCAAAACTTCAACTACATCATTTGAGGTGTTTAGTAGTTCTGTGCAAATGAGCGACTCTGTGACATACAGGCCAAACCCCTCTTGTTGCCTGTTTAGTCTGTCACATCGGAATAGGTTATAACCTGGGATCCATATTTCGTTGTCATAATGATCCTTTATGTGGGTCTCTGTGAATGCTGCAAACATTGCATTTGACTCCGTGAGCAGTCCCTTGATGTAAGGAATTTTGTTGTTTTTTGACGGCTTTGCTGTTTGATGTTTGCTTTGGTGTTTGCAAAGACAAATGTCGTTGTATTGGTGGAATTTAGGGGGTTTTATTTGCTGGCTCTAATATCTGTTGTTCTGGAGTAGAGGCCAATGTCCGTGCCTCTGCTCCAGAAGTGTTTTCCGGTAGTGTAGGATTATTGTAATTTCTTGCCAGTCTTTTTTCCCTCCTGGCCCTAAAAAACCTCTGTCCCTGGAGAGGCCATTGTATTACAAAAAGTAATTATTATTATTAGTATTATTAGGAAGAAGCTAGTAACCCCTTCTCCTGTTAAAATTACTAAATGTAAAAAGTAGAAACACTGTGGTTTCTTTTTTTGGGGCCACCCTACCATGGTGGGAAATGTCCAGTGTGTCAGAAAAAATTATTATTATTATTATTATTATTATTACCATCATCATCATCATTAATATTACAAGACAGGGTGGTGAGAAGGTCTTAAATGGAGTCAAGGGAAAGGGAGTGTTGGAGGGTGGTGTGTGGGGCATGACACTACTTGGAGGATGTGCTTCTCATCAGTAATTGCTTTCAACTCTGTATTAAACCTCAGGTTCTTGAGAAAAAAAAGAAATAATTCACCTTAACTAAAACATAAATCTGTGGTTCTTGACCAGTCTATTAAACTAATGTGAGCTCTCTATATATCATAAGATGAGCACACATGAATGCATTGGGTTAAAGGAGGTGTATAATTAATGGGTCAGAGGTGTATTGTTGAATTATTACTTGAACTCTGTTGGTCTGGCAAGGCTTCAGTACTAAGGGTGCTGGAAAATTTATGGTGTATTTGTACTTGTTGTATATTATCCCTGCATATCAGCTTGGAGTTCAGTGTGGTAAAATATTACAATAAATAATATCAAATTGTCCAATATGTTATCTCACTTATTTTAATTACTGTTAAAACTACCTTAATTCTTAATTTTTTTGCAAGTTAAATTAACTTCTGCAACATTTTACTTGTTTTCCTGTCAGTTTGCATGTGCATTGACTGTGTCTCTTGGCATTAAATGCTTTTGTTATATTTTCATATCAAGTATATTTTTTATTTTTTTTCCACAGAAAAACTTGACCCTTCATGAGGCTTTACATGCTACTGACAAATTATCATGCCCAGAATGTGGTAAAACCTATCGCCGGCTTGCTTCATTTAGGGCCCATCTCACACTTCATGAGTTAGATGAATCAGTCACATGTGAAATATGTCAAGAAGAGTTTGTATCTGTGGTAAGTAGGTGGAGGCAATAACTTTAAACCCTGAGAGGAATTAATATATGTAAACTGATATGTTGTGTATCTTTATATGTACAGTGGACCCCCGCATAACGATCACCTCCGAATGCGACCAATTATGTAAGTGTATTTATGTAAGTGCGTTTGCACGTGTATGTTTGGGGGTCTGAAATGGACTAATCTACTTCACAATATTCCTTATGGGAACAAATTCGGTCAGTACTGGCACCTGAACATACTTCTGGAGAGAAAAAATATCGTTAACCGGGGGTCCACTGTATATGCTTCTAAACTGTTGTGTTCTGAGCACCTCTGCAAAAACAGTGATTATGTGTGAGTGAGGTGAAAGTGTTGAATGATGATGAAAGTATTTTCTTTTTGGGGATTTTCTTTCTTTTTGGGTCACCCTGCCTCGGTGGGAGACGGCTGACTTGTTAAAAAAAAAAAATGGTATTGTATAAGAACTTTTGATTCAGAATGCTAAATTATTTACTGAATATAGAATAGTTTTGTGTAAACAAATTATGGTGTGAACACAAACACGGTTCAGCCAGGTTGCATCCCTATACCAGTACCCCTTAACCGTGAGGTTTAGGTGCTCAAGTGTGGTGATCCATCACCTCAGTGACCACTTGCATCACAGTTTCAATTAAAGATCAAACATACATTAGAAAAGTAGCTTTATAAGCAATCATCTGTCTCCCACATAGCAGTTTCTTGTAGGGGCTCTCATCATTTTACAAAAAATGAAAATACAAACTGTATTTCTTGACCAATTGTTTCCTAAAAGAAATATGAGGCCACCAAAGAATCACTCCCAGAAATGCATTTAATCCAATTGCAAGTAAATAAATATAATCAGTGTACCTGCTGTTATTATATTACCCCCCCAAAAATGAGCATTTCATACAGGCACCAAAAAAGTCAGATACAAAAAAAAAAAAAAAAAAAAAAAAAAACGAATTTCATTTTGTCAAAATACAACTGTGTAAAATAACAAGATGCAGAAAGCTCAAGTTGTATACAGTTAATTTTGCAAGTCCCCTCTAGGGAGGTTCCTTGTTGCTGGTGAGAGGCTCTTGATCCACCAGGAGGCCTGGTCACAGACCAGGCCTCGGGGGCATTGACCCCCAGAACTCTCTCCAGGTAAACTCCAGGTAGGGAGGTTCCTTGTTGCTGGTGAGAGGCTCTTGATCCAAGAAATTGAGCATGGTGCTCACCTTTGGATCAAACCTGATTGCCTCTCACCCTGCAGGTTTACCATTTCCTCATGATTAAATCTTGTTAGAGGCAACTAAAATTCAGGGAGCCAGAGGCTAGTAACTCCTCCTGTATACAGTACTAAATGTAAAAAAGATTTCTTTTTCAGGTCACCCTACCTTGGTGGGAGACAGCCAGTGTGTTGAAAAAAAAAAAATTGATGGATATTTTTATTTCTTATTTGGTACATGTACAGTGGACCCCCGCATAACGATCACCTCCGAATGCGACCAATTATGTAAGTGTATTTATGTAAGTGCGTTTGTACGTGTATGTTTGGGGGTCTGAAATAGACTAATCTACTTCACAATATTCCTTATGGGAACAAATTTGGTCAGTACTGGCACCTGAACATACTTCTGGAGTGAAAAAATATCGTTAACCGGGGGTCCACTGTATTCTCTTATGTTAGATTGCATTTTCTAATTTCCTTGTGGGGCTTTAGATTCTTAAAAATATGTGAATCAGTTTTTGTTTTGGTAACATCTAATGTATAGTATTAGTTGTGATAATGAATAAAATTGGTTGTGAACAGTGTATACCAGTGTACCATTTTCTATGCCTAGTACCAGTTTGTCATAGTTATACCCTTAAACTCAAAGAGTCGAGCAATAGAGGTGAGCAGTGTTGATAAGGAATACATCCTATGATCACTTTCAATGATCAGTGTATTAATTTGTTTTTATAATTAATTTATTCATTATTATTGATGAAATAATTTGTATTGAAAGAGTCAACTTGAACCACACTACCAGCGTCACAGAGAAGGCCTGGACCGAGTGGTGGAGCGGAAAAGGGCAAGTTTAGAATGCCGAGAGTGTAAGGCAAAATTCACTAATCATGCTATGCTCAGCCATCACATGAAAGTTCATAGAAAGGTAATGGATTTGATTCTTATATTTATTTTGTTGAAATAAAGTAATAAAATATTCGTTTTTTTTTTTTTTTTTTTTTTACTAGAGTTCATCTTTAGTACTGTATGCATTATACAATAATACCTTTCTTATTCAAAATAGTGTGTTTAACTTTAAGAAATTTTCAAATAAATGAAATAAGAGTCCTTTTATTCTATGTAAACAATTCCGAATTTGAGAAATTTGGTCAAATTAAATTTTATTTTTATTTCCGTTTGGAAAATTCCAATTTTTTTTTTTATATTTCTAAATTCAGAATTTTAAAAAGCATTCTCTCTGATTTGATAAATAAAATGCAAAGTGGAAGAATTTCCAAATTTTACCCTCACTGATAAAAATCACAATATTGAAGATCATTTCAAATTCAAAATATTTTCAAAATTTGACAAAATTCAGGAAAAGAGAAATAAGTGAGAGAGATTATTGCACTCTTCCACAATTCGGGCACTATATTAGTTTAAGTAAAGCAGTTGCAAAATATGGAACTTTTTATTCATGACCCATATACACCTACCATCCGACTTACGACCGAGTTCGGTTCCGAGAAACCGGTCGTAAGTCAAAATGGACGTAAGTCGAACTTTACTACTGAATATCAACATCACATTTTTGTAATGACTTTATTTTATTGTTTTATTTTGGTATGTCATGTTTTACTTTACTTTCTATGCTGTTAGTACTGTATTTTATACTGTAAGGTTTAGGATAAACACTGTGTACAACACAAATAGTTGTTTATTTCCCAGAAATTTGGCAAAAAAAAAACAGGCGTAAGTTGAGTGGTCGTAAGTCAAGCAGGTCGTAAGTCGGAAGGTAGGTGTATAACGTATCTATTTTAACTTGGTTTTTACTGTTCAGTGCTTTGGTACCACCATTGCAAAATGGGTGAATCCTGAAGGAAAACAGTACAAGAAATTTGAATTACTCAGTTGTCCATGCAGCATGCTTGGGCATTTGATGTGTTGTAGTTCCAGCCATGCTTACCCATACTTTTGGTGATGCTGTACCACCCCTCTTAGTTGGTTTACATCTTGTATTAATGTTGGTAGAATTACTGACAATATGTTAGGAAAAATGTTACATTAGTTGCACTTGTCTCCTTTTGCCTAACATATTGTCAGTAATTCTACCAACATTAATACAACTTGTCGGACATTGCAACATAATGGACATTTCATGCAGACATTATTTGGACACCCTTCTTCATGCTCACAGTTTTCACAACAGACACAACTTTCTATACCCTCTGTGTCCATGTATTGTTTGTAACGACTTGATAAAGCTCCTGGAGAGCAAAACGTTGCCACAATAAAATGTCACATTAGTTGCACTTGTATCGGTTTACATCTTGTCTACCCAGCTGTTTTTGAAATGAGAAGTGGTAGCCTGGCTAAGGGAAGGTAGAAGGAGGCCATATAGATAAAAGCAGTAGGTTGCTCTTAAAACTTATTTTTTAGGAGGTAAATTTTATAGGAATTATTCCTAGTTCCTTATCAAACCTTACACAGAAAGTAGTTTTTAATTTTTAAAAATGTGCTCACCCCCTCCAGGATTTGAATCCTGGAGGTGGATGAGTACAGGAAGGACAGGTGGGGATGTTGCAGTACTGGAGGTAGGAAGTACAGTGCCTGCCCTCTGAAGGATAGGTGGTGATGTTGCAGTACTGGAGGTAGGAAGTACAGTGCCTGCCCTCTGAAGGATAGGTGGGGATGTTGCAGTACTGGAGGTAGGAAGTACAGTGCCTGCCCTCTGAAGGATAGGTGGGGATGTTGCAGTACTGGAGGTAGGAAGTACAGTGCCTGCCCTCTGAAGGATAGGTGGGGATGTTGCAGTACTGGAGGTAGGAAGTACAGTGCCTGCCCTCTGAAGGATAGGTGGGGATGTTGCAGTACTGGAGGTAGGAAGTACAGTGCCTGCCCTCTGAAGGACAGGTGGGGATGTTGCAGTACTGGAGGTAGGAAGTACAGTGCCTGCCCTCTGAAGGATAGGTGGGGATGTTGCAGTACTGGAGGTAGGAAGTACAGTGCCTGCCCTCTGAAGGACAGGTGGGGATGTTGCAGTACTGGAGGTAGGAAGTACAGTGCCTGCCCTCTGAAGGATAGGTGGGGATGTTGCAGTACTGGAGGTAGGAAGTACAGTGCCTGCCCTCTGAAGGATATGTGGGGATGTTGCAGTACTGGAGGTAGGAAGTACAGTGCCTGCCCTCTGAAGGATATGTGGGGATGTTGCAGTACTGGAGGTAGGAAGTACAGTGCCTGCCCTCTGAAGGAGGGGTGAAAATGTTGTAGTACTGGAGGGTCATTTTGAGTTGTGATGTTTGCACACTTCTAGCAAGACACCTATTAAACAAATGTGCTGAAATGTGTTTCATTTTTTTTTTTTGAATGTCTGCAGTGGTGGGAGATGGCCTGTGTTTTGAAAAAATAAATAAGTAAAAATAAATAAATACAGAAAGAGTAAGGTTATGAGGATAACAAAAAGATTAGGTGATGAAAGATTGAATATCAGATTGGAGGGAGAGAGTATGGAGGAGGTGAATGTATTCAGATATTTGAGAGTGGACGTGTCAGCGGATGGGTCTATGAAAGATGAGGTGAATCATAGAATTGATGAGGGGAAAAGAGTGAGTGGTGCACTTAGGAGTCTGTGGAGACAAAGAACTTTGTCCTTAGAGGCAAAGAGGGGAATGTATGAGAGTATAGTTTTACCAACACTCTTATATGGGTGTGAAGCATGGGTGATGAATGTTGCAGCGAGGAGAAGGCTGGAGGCAGTGGAGATGTCATGTCTGAGGGCAATGTGTGGTGTGAATATAATGCAGAGAATTCGTAGTTTGGAAGTTAGGAGGAGGTGCGGGATTACCAAAACTGTTGTCCAGAGGGCTGAGGAAGGGTTGTTGAGGTGGTTCGGACATGTAGAGAGAATGGAGCGAAACAGAATGACTTCAAGAGTGTATCAGTCTGTAGTGGAAGGAAGGCGGGGTAGGGGTCGGCCTAGGAAAGGTTGGAGGGAGGGGGTAAAGGAGGTTTTGTGTGCGAGGGGCTTGGACTTCCAGCAGGCATGCGTGAGCGTGTTTGATAGGAGTGAATGGAGACAAATGGTTTTTAATACTTGACGTGCTGTTGGAGTGTGAGCAAAGTAACATTTATGAAGGGATTCAGGGAAACCGGCAGGCCGGACTTGAGTCCTGGAGATGGGAAGTACAGTGCCTGCACTCTGAAGGAGGGGTGTTAATGTTGCAGTTTAAAAACTGTAGTGTAAAGCACCCTTCTGGCAAGACAGTGATGGAGTGAATGATGGTGAAAGTTTTTGTTTTTCGGGCCACCCTGCCTTGGTGGGAATCGGCCAGTGTGATAATAAAAATAAAAATAAATAAATACAGCAGGCATGTGTGAGCGTGTTAGATAGGAGTGAATGGAGACAAATGGTTTTTGGGTGACAAGCTGTTGGAATGTGATCAGGGTAATATTTTGTGAGGGGGATTCAGGGAAACAGGTTAGCCAAACTTGAGTCCTGGAGGTGGGAAGTATATTGCTTGCACTTTCAAGGAGGGGTTTGGGATATTTGCTGTTTGGAGTGACATCTGAACTGTTGCATCTGAGCACCTCTGTATGTATTTTTCTTTACTTCTTAATAACTAAGATTTTAATTTTGATAGGTAAGGAAAATTACAACAACGAAACCTAGAAGATATGTGGATCCATCAAAATTTGAGAACAAATGTCCAGAGTGTGGTAAAAATTTCATCAAACCTTCACAGTTGAAAAGACATATTTTGATACACACCGGTGAAAGACCCTTCAAGGTATGTTTTTGACATAAATTTTTTTCCTTGCAGAAATTTTTGCTCTTGTATGCATTTCATTAAAAATTTTGATGCCATTTTTTTAATAAGTTTTCTTGTAGTAGTTAATTAAGAATCTTTATATAGCTGAACCACTGTTCTGGGGAGTTAAAGGTCCCCATGAATTCTTTCGTGAATATTGCTAAATTCTGTCATTACAATAAATTTTATTCATATTTGGGCTCACTTTGTCTTTTAAGGGCCATCTCTCTGTATTCATTATTTTGCACTACAGTACATATCTTCTTCTTTCAACAAACCTGCCATATCCCACTGAGGCAGGGTGGTCGAAAAGGAAAAACGAAAGTTTCTCCTTTTAAATTTAGTAATATATACAGGAGAAGGGGTTACCAGCCCCATGCTCCCATCCTTTTAGTTTCCACTTACGACATGCATGGCTTACAGAGGAAGAATTGTGTTGCACTTCCCCATGGAGATAAGAGGACATAAATAAGAACATTAGGTAGTAGGTTAGTAGACAGCAACCGCCCAGGGAGGTACTACCGTCCTGCCGAGTGAGTGTAAAACGAAAGCCTGTAATTGTTTTACATGATGGTAGGATTGCTTGTGTCCATTTTTCTGTCTCGTAAACATGCAAGATTTCAGGTACGTCTTGCTACTTCTTCTTACACTTAGGTCACACTACACATACATGTACAAGCATAGTGGTCCCTCGCTTTTCGTAGTTCTTGGCAATCGTAAATTTCGCCAATCATAGGGGTATTTTCGTATAAACATGGACTCGCTTTTCATAGGTTGACTCGCCAATAGTAGTTCGTCCCGGACGTGTACGCACGGTGTGAGCCGGGGCGGCCTCACTACCCAGCCAGTCTGGCATTGTTTACCAGTGAGTGAAGGTACCATCAAGTGCTCCTATGAAATATTTCATAATATTCCACTCATTTTGGTGCTTGCAATTACTAAATAAGCTACCATGGCTCCAAAGAAAGCTCCTAGTGCCAAGCCTGTTGTGGTAAAGAAGGTGAGAAATATGTACAGTGACAAAGTCTTGGGCCATTTTCGGGAAGTGTTAAAGAGACGCCAGAAACAGAGCTCTCTCCACAGTTACTTTACGAGACAGGACTAGAGCGACTCTCAAGGTGGTCCTAGTGGCACTAAGAAACAGAGGAGAGAAGCAACCCCAGAGAAGTAATTGGTACCTGAGGTGTTGCTGGAAGGGGATTCCCCTTCCAAACTGTAAACAATCCAATCTCTCTCCTCCTCCAGTCTCCCATACACTAAGAAGAATCTCCAATAAAGGTAAGTGTTATGCTGTTAATGTTTCATTCATCATTTCCAATTGTATTGTTTATGTACTATATGTATATTTCAGGTAAAAAATTTTTTTTTTTTAATACTTCTGGGTGTCAGGAATGGATTAATTGTATTTACATTATTTCTTATGGGGAAAATTGATTCGCAAATCGTAAATTTCGTTTATAGTAATGGCTCCAGGAACAGATTAATTATGAAAAACGAGGGACCACTGTACTATATATGTACACACCCCTCTGGGTTTTCTTCTATTTTCTTACTAGTTCTTGTTCTTGTTTATTTCCTCTTACCTCCATGGGGAAGTGGAACAGAATTCTTCCTCCGTAAGCCATGTGTGTTGTAAGAGGCGACTAAAATGCCGGGAGCAAGGGGTTAGTAACCCCCTTCTCCTGTATATGTTACTAAATGTAAAAGGAGAAGCTTTCGTTTTTTCTTTTGGGCCACCCCGCCTCAGTGGAATACGGCCGGTGTGTTGAAAGAAGAAGAAATAAGAACATGGGTTCAAGCCCCTCCCATTTAAAAAAATAAAAGAGTTGTACTGGCCAGGTTGTAACATTCACACCAACAATCCGCTTAGTCCAGAGGTTGACTCTCCCAGTTTGTAGATTTTATTTTAAATGTAGTAGTTTGGTAGACAGCAACCACCCAGGGAGGTACTACTGTCCTGCCAAGTGAGTGTAAAACGAAAGCCTGTAATTGTTGTACATGTTGGTAGGATTGCTGGTGTCTTTTGTCGGTCTCATAAATATGCAAGATTACAGGTACATCTTGCTACTTCTGGAGTTTACCTGGAGAGAGTTCCGGGGGTCAACGCCCCCGCGGCCCAGTCTGTGACCAGGCCTCCTGGTGGATCAGAGCCTGATCAACTAGGCTGTTGCTGCTGGCTGCACGCAAACCAACGTACGAGCCACAGCCCGGCTGGTCAGGAACCGACTTTAGGTGCTTGTCCAGTGCCAGCTTGAAGACCGCCAGGGGTCTGTTGGTAATCCCCCTTATGTATGCTGGGAGGAAGTTGAACAGTCTCGGACCCCTGACACTTATTGTATGGTCTCTTAACGTGCTAGTGACACCCCTGCTTTTCATTGGGGGGATGTTGCATCATCTGCCAAGTCTTTTGCTTTCGTAGTGAGAGATTTTCGTGTGCAAGTTCGGTACTAGTCCCTCTAGGATTTTCCAGGTGTATATAATCATGTATCTCTCCCACCTGGGTTCCAGGGAATACAGTTTTAGGAACCTCAAGCGCTCCCAGTAATTGAGGTGTTTTATCTCCGTTATGCGCGCCGTGAAGGTTCTCTGTACATTTTCTAGGTCAGCAATTTCACCTGCCTTGAAAGGTGCTGTTAGTGTCTACTTACACTTAGGTCACAGTAAACATATATGAACACGTTTATTTATATGCACTCATCTGAGTTTTCTTTGATTTCATCTTAGTTCTTGTTCTTATTACTTTTCCTTTTATATCCATGGGGAAGTGGAATTAGAATCTTTCCTACGTAAAGCATGCATGTTGTAAAAGTCGACTAAAATGTCGGGAACAAAGGGCTGGTAACCCCTTTTCCTGTAATAATTACTAAAAAGAATAAGAAGAAAATTGTCAGAGTGGGAAGTCTGAATGTGCATGGATGTTGTGTGAATGATAAGAAAGAGATGATTGTGGATGTTATAAATGAGAAGAAGCTGGATGTCCTGGCTTTAAGTGAAACAAAGCTGAAGGGGGTGGGAGAGTTTCAATGGAGAGGACTAAATGGGATTAGGTCAGGTGTTTCTAATAGGGTTAGAGCTAAAGAAGGAGTAGCAATAATGTTGAAGGATAAGCTATGGCAGGAAAAGAGGGACTATAAATGTATTAATTCAAGGATTGTGTGGAGTAAAATAAAGGTTGGATGTGAGAAGTGGGTTATAGTAAGTGTGTATGCACCTGGGGAAGAGAGAAGTACAGTGGACCCCCGCATACCGTTGGCATCACATAACGTTAAATCCGCATACCGATACATTTTATCGCTAAGATTTTGCCTCACATACCGCTAAAAAACCCGCTCAACACTATTCGTCTGAGACACGTCTAATGTGCAGCCTGAGCCAGTCTCACGTGTTCCGCCGGTGGCATTGTTTACAAGCCAGCCTCCGCGGTAACATCCAAGCATACAATTGTAACATTTCGTATTATTACAGTGTTTTTGGTGATTTTATCTGCAAAATAAGTGACCATGGGCCCCAAGAAAGCTTCTAGTGCCAACCCTGTGGTAAAAAGGGTGAGAAATATTATCGAAATACTGTGGTACCATGGTCAACTGCTGCTGCTGCTGCTGCTGTAGCACTGTCAGCTGCTGCTGCTGCTGTAGCACCGTCAGCTGCTGCTGTACCACTGTCAGCTGCTGCTGCTGCACTGTCAGCTGCTGCTGCTGCTGTAGCACTGTCAGCTGCTGCTGCTGCTGTAGCACTGTTTGCTGCTGCTGTACCACCATCAGCTGCTGCTGCTGCTGCTGCTGCTGCTGTTGTAGTACTGTCTGCTGCTGCTGTAACATTGTCTGCTGCTGCTGCAGCACTGTCAGCTGCTGCTGCACTGTCTGCTGCTGCTGTAGCACTCAGCTGCTGCTGCTGCTGTAGCACTGTCAGCTGCTGCTGCTGCTGTACCACCGTCAGCTGCTGCTGCTGCTGTAGTACCGTCTGCTGCTGCTGCTGCTGTAGTACCTTCTGCTGCTGCTGTAGCATCGTCTGCTGCTGCTGTAGTACTGTCAGCTGCTGCTGCTGTAGCACTGTCAGCTGCTGTTGCTGTAGCACTGTCAGCTGCTGCTGACAGAGGGTTAGCCACCCAGGATAACCCAAAAAAGTCAGTGTTATCGAAGACTGTCTAACTTATTTCCATTGGGGTCCTTAATCTTGTCTCCCAGGATGCAACCCACACCAGTCGACTAACACCCAGGTGAACAGGGAAAAACGCCCGGAACTAGTGCTCATATTGGTGAATTTAAAGCCAGCAAAGGTTGGTTTGAGAGATTTAAGAATCGTAGTGGCATACACAGTGTGATAAGGCCTGTTCTGGAAGAAAATGCCAAACAGGACCTACAGTACTCAGGAGGAATAGGCACTCCCAGGACACAGTGTCTCATCAGTCATTGCTGCATCTTCAATAAAGGTAAGTGTCATTTATTCTTCATTTAGTAGAGTAGTACATGCACAATATATACTGTGCATGTACTACTCTAATATTGTGCATGTATCCTTCTCTTTGTGTGTAGGAAAATGTATATTTCATGTGGTAAAATTTTTTTTTTCATACTTTTGGGTGTCTTGCACGGATTAATTTGATTTCCATTATTTCTTATGGGGAAAATTCATTCGCATAACGATAATTTCGCATAACAATGAGCTCTCATGAACGGATTAATATCGTTATGCAGGGGTCCACTGTATAGAGGAGAGAGAGAGATTTTGGGAAATGTTGAGTGAATGCGTGGGAAGTTTTGAACCAAGTGTGAGAGTACTTGTGGTTGGGGATTTTAATGCTAAAGTGGGTAAAAATGTTGTGGAGGGAGTAGTAGGTAAATTTGGGATGCCAGGGGTAAATGAAAATGGGGAGCTTTTAATTGAGCTATGTGTAGAAAGAAATTTGGTAATAAGTAATACATATTTTATGAAAAAGAGGATAAATAAATGTACAAGGTATGATATAGCATGTAATGAAAGTAGTTAGATTATCTATTGGTGGATAAAAGGTTGATGAGTAGGCTCCAGGATGTACACGTTTATAGAGGGGCAACTGATATATCGGATCATTATCTAGTTGTAGCTACAGTTAGAGTAAGAGATAGATGGGAAAAGAGGAAAATGGCAACAACAAGTAAGAGGGAGGTGAAAGTGTATAAACTAAGGGAGGAGGAAGTTTGGGTTAAATATAAGCAATTATTGGCAGAAAGGTGGGCTGGTGCAGGTATGAGTAGTGGGGGGGTTGAAGAGGGTTGGAATAGTTTTAAAAATGCGGTACAGTATTAGAATGTGTGGCAGAAGTTTGTGGTTATAGGAGGGTGGGTGCAGGAGGAAAGAGGAGTGATTGGTGGAATGATGAAGTAAAGGATGTGATAAAAGAGAAAAAGGTAGCTTATGAGATTTGTCAGTTAAAAACAGAGTAGGGGAGTTAGTAGATGGGGAGATGGAGGTATTGGGTAGATGATGAGAATATTTTGAGGAACTTTTAAATGTCGACAAAGAAAGGGAGGCAGTAATTTCATGCACTGGCCAGGGAGGTATACCATCTTTTAAGTGTGAAGAAGAGCAGGATGTGAGTGTGGGGGAGGTGCATGAGGCACTATGTAGAATGAAAGGGGTAAAGCAGCTGGAACTGATGGGATCATGACAGAAATGTTAAAAGCAGGGGGGGGGGGGAAATAGTGTTGGAGTGGTTGGTATTTTTGTTTAATAAATGTATGAAAGAGGGAAAGGTACCTAGGGATTGGCAGAGAGCATGTATAGTCCCTTTATATAAAGGGTAGGGGACAAAAGAGATTGTAAAAATTATAGAGGAATAAGTGTAGGGTTATTATTGAAAGAATTAGAGGCAAGACAGAATGTAGAATTGCCGATGAGCAAGGAGGTTTTTAGAGTGAGTAGGGGATGTGTAGATCAAGTGTTTACATTGAAGCACATGTGTGAGCAATATTTAGATAAAGGTAGGGAAGTTTTTATTGCATTTATGGATTTAGAAAAGGCATATATATGATAGAGTGGATAGGGAAGCAATATGGCAGCTGTTGCAAGTACGTATATGGAATAGGTGGTAAGTTACTAAATGCTGTAAGAGCTGTTATGAGGATAGTGAGGCTCAGGTTAGGGTGTGTAGAAGAGAGGGAGACTACTTCCCGGTAAAAGTAGGTCGTAGACAGTGATGTGTAATGTCACCATGGTTGTTTAATATATTTATAGATGGGGTTGTAAAAGAAGTAAATGCTAGGGTGTTCGGGAGAGGGGTTGGATTAAATTATGGGGAATTAAATACAAAATTGGAAGTGACACAGTTACTTTTTGCTGATGATACTGTGCTTATGGGAGATTCTAAAGTAAAATTGCAAAGGTTAGTGGATGAGTTTGGGAGTGTATGTAAAGGTAGAAAGTTGAAAGTGAACATAGAAAAGAGTAAGGTGATGAGGGTATCAAATTATTTAGATAAAGAAAAATTGGATATCAAATTGGGGAGGAGTATGGAAGAAGTGAATGTTTTCAGATATTTGGGAGTTGACGTGTCAGCCAATGGATTTATGAAGGATGAGGTTAATCATAGAATTGATGAAGGAAAAAAGGTGAGTGGTGCATTGAGGTATATGTGGAGTCAAAAAATGTTACCTATGGAGGCAAAGAAGGGAATGTATGAAAGTATAGCAGTACCAACACTCTCATATGGGTGTGAAGCTTGGGTTGTGAATGCTACAGCAAGGCTGCAGCATTCACAACCCAGCAGGGGCAATGTGTAGTGTAAATATTATGCAGAAAATTTGGAGTGTGGAAATTAGGAGAAGGTGTGGAGTTAATAAAAGTATTAGTCAGAGGGCTGAAGAGGGTTTGTTGAGGTGGTTTGGTCATTTAGAGAGAATGGATCAAAGTAGTATGACATGGAGAGCGTATAAATCTGTAGGGGAAGGAAGGCGGGGTAGGGGTCGTCCTCGAAAAGGTTGGAGGGAGGGGGTAAAGGAGGTGTTGTGGGCGAGGGGTTTGGACTTCCAGCAAGCGTGCGTGAGCGTGTTAGATAGGAGTGAATGGAGACGAATGGTATTTGGGACCTGACGAGCTGTTGGAGTGTGAGCAGGGTAATATTTAGTGAAGGGATTCAGGGAAACCAGTTATTTTATATTACTGAATTTGAGTCCTGGAAATGGGAAGTACAATGCCTGCACTCTAAAGAAGGGGTTTGGGATATTGGCAGTTTGGAGGGATATATTGTGTATTTTTATATGTATATACTTCTAAACTGTTGTATTCTGGGCACCTCTGCAAAAACAGTGATTATGTGTGAGTGAGGTGAATGTGTTAAATGATGATGAAAGTATTTTCTTTTTGGGGATTTTCTTTCTTTTTGGGTCACCCTGCCTCGGTGGGAGACAGCCGACTTCTTGAAAAAAAAAATTAGTATGAAAATAGAAGAAAACCCAGAGGGGTGTGTACATACATGTATATGCTTGTACATGCATGTGTAATGTGACTTAAGTGTAAGTAGAAGTAGCAAGATGTACCTGAAATTTTACATGTTTATGAGACAGAAAAAAGACACCAGCAATCCTACCATCATGTAAAACAATTACTGGCTTTTTGTTTTACACTCACTTGGCAGGACATTAGTACCTCCCTGAGCAGTTGCTGTTTACCAACCTACTGCCTAGGGCACTACAGTATCAAGAGTGTTAAAATATAGAGGAGGAATAGCTTAAATTCAAACTACAGCCTCTCCTCACTTAACAATGGAGTTCCGTTCCTAAGACCGTGGTGGTAAATGAATTCCTCGCTAAATGAGGAGCATACTATAATAGTAGTGGGTTTGTGTCAGCCATCTTTGATGTTGTTTTAATGTCACCTTTGTATCATTTATAACATTTCTGGTATATTTTTAAATGTTTTTACAGTAGTGTACTGTATATTGAAATAAATAAAATAGAGGAAATCACCTCTAATATACATTATTTAGGTATGCATACTGGTCAGAGAGCCTATTGTAAGTCCAAGGCATCAGTAAGCAAGTACTGTATGTCGCTAAGTGAGGAGAGGCTCTACTTGTACAAATACAAATACTCAGTTTTAAACTGTGAGTGCCTGAAAAACAATGGAAAAGTGAGAGACCCACACTCAGTGGGTGGCCAGTTTACACCCATATTATTTCTCTTTAGTGGTACTGTACATTTTTTTACACTAGGGTAAAAACTTAGCTTGCATTGATAGGAAGTGCAAGATCAAATAGGTTGCATAGGGACTATATGCAGTAAGTAGCAACAGCCTATCTGATGAGGCAGTTACCAGACAACTGATCATAGACCAGGCTGAGAGAGTAGAACTTCCAAAACCTGTTAAGTGTATGGTACAGCAAGTAAGTTAAATGCCACACACTTTGTGGGTTATTGGCTGCCTACATTATTCCTGTCTTTTTATTTATTATGAAATTTCAAGTTTGATTATTGCAACTATTTCCTAATTCAGTGATCACCTGCTTGGGGTCCTTGTTTATGCTTTTTAATTCAGATTTGAGAACCATATTCTTTTTATACTGTTACATTTTTCAGTGCACCTTTCCTGGCTGTGACCGAGCTTTTAACCAAAAAATCTCCATGCTTATTCATATGGATATACACACTGGACGGAAGGACTACAAATGTGATTTCTGCAACAAAGAATTTGTACAAAGAAGTAAGTTCACAGTGTATCCTTTCCTGTATACAGGTACTATACATTCTGTACTTACAAAATTTATGAAAGGTCGTGATAAAAAGTAGGTTTTGTCCAAATTGGGGAATTTAGGATCAATTTTGTTTCCTGGACATGAAAATTGGAATTCACCTTTGGTACAGTATATCTCAGGGCTTGGGACTGTAACAGCATAACCTAAAAGTAATGATATATTCTAAATGAATTACAGTGGGTATAACACAGACAGGATTTATAACATATGATCTGCACTTATGATGAGTGTACAGATACTACTTCCTTTTCCTTTATTATTAGAAGCCCAATATTCAGTGCATGTACATGCCAATGAATTTTTGTATTTTTAAAGCACTCTGCCACATTATGGCTGTCATATATTTACTCTATTTTATTCCGCAGGTAATTTACGCTGCCACATAAAGCGTGTACATCCCGTTGATATATCTGTTGAAGAGTTGTTTATATGTCAAGAGTGCCCTTGTGTGTTTAAGCGTGCTGGAAGTCTTAATGCACACATTTCTCGAGTACACACCACTGAGGCAGTAATTGTGAGTGAATACTTCTTCACTTTAGTTTATGGTATATTTTTTTTATTATATGGCCATTTCCCACTCGGGTAGGGTGACCTAAAGAACGAAATACATTCACCATTATTCACCTATTAGCTGCCTTGCTGGAATTGTGTGGACATCACTGTTCAAATGACCCTCCCAACTGCAACATCCCCACCTCCTTCAGAGTTTAGGAATTACTTCCAGCCTCTGGAATTCATATCCAATAAATTCTTTTTAAATTGGGTATTTATTAAAATTTATTTCAGCTTCTTGGTAACTGACAATTTTTGTTTGTTAATGTTTAAAATTCCAAGCATTTTATCCAGAGATTTCTATGTAGGCACTCTGAAGGAGGGATGGGGATGTTACAGTTGGAGGGTATTGATTGTGAAGTCAGCACGCTTCTGGAAAGATGGTAATTGAGTGAATGTGTTTCTTTCTTTGGGTCTTCCTTCTTGGTGGGAAACAGTTATTGAGTTTAAAATAAAAAATATTATTCTTGGCAGCATTAGACTGGTCACCAATATACTTGGTCATTACTGTATCACTGTATATTATACTAGGAAAATAAAGAGGCATTTATTTCATTGATACCTATGCAGTACTTTGGCTTCGTTCACAGCGTTTGAATGTTTCAAGTTTGTCACAATCATACCTGAGAAACTTATCAGCCACTAACTGGAAAGAGACTTATTTAAATATTAGCTGTTCCTTCTTAAAACACCTTCCATTTGGGGGATGTATATAATTAACATCAAATTAGACTTTCTGTAATTATGCAACCTAATGTTTATATTTATCCATCATCATGATATATTTCAGTTGTGAAAATATTTCATCTAAAGAATGTGTTGTTATACTTAAGTGGTTAAGGACATTTATGTATAGTTCAAGACATGTTTCTTTATCCACATTTTGTTGGTATTAACATACCATTGCCAACCATCAAGATTTACTCCCAATTTTTTCACTTCTAAAATAGTCTCTTCTAGGTCAAAATTAACTTAAATTATAACAGATAGCTTATTGTTTATTTCTAATCATTGACCATATCCCATCATGGCAGGGTGACCCAAAGATGTTGAAAACATACTACTTTTTCTTAGTTTTGGGTTGCTAATTACATGGAGATTTCTAACTAACCCATTCATTGCCTCTGATATTTGAAGTGCCTTCAACATCATGCATGGATTTTGAGGGAAAGATTCTAACCCACTTTTTCCATGTGGACAAGTTCTTACTCTGATAGTATTTATGTATATTTTCATACACTTTCATAAAGCTTTCATATTTTTGCTCTTCTTCAAACCATGATCTTACCATCTCATTTTTTTACATATATAGTGCCTTTCTCTCCTGTCACAAACACATCACTTTTTTGAAACATGTCACACATGATTATTTCTCATCATCCAGTTCACTTTCACAGGTGCTCTATAATGTATTTCGACTATATCCCATTCATGTTGTATATATAGTACATACCAATGATACCATTGATACATTTTTTCAGAGAATGGATTCGTCTTCAGATTATCGAGATGTACTAAAGGATGTTCGAGATGTAATAAAGGAGATTCAGGACTTGGAAAGAGCTGGTCAGCGAGATCAGGTAACCTGTGTTTCAACTTGGTATTGCAGTAGTTTACTTGTTTTTTGATAGATTATTTTTCTTCCATTATTATGCTTTCTTTTGAGCAAATACAAGTATTTTTCCTATATAAAAATCTCATTAATATAAAATCTCCTGTACATCATTGTATATTAATAACTTATATTTGAGTACATTAGTAGTGAGGCCCTTCAGAACACACTAACAATTTTTGTACCATAGACTCTTCATATGCTATGAATATAATATTATAGACCTTATTATAGGGCTTTATACTTTACAAACTGTAGTTAGTTATACAGGAATCTCCTGTACACTTGCAATGCAGATGTTTGTGTGCTATATGGAATTTTGAGTGTTTCATAGGATTCTATGAGACAAATGAAATGTGCTGACGTGTAATGCACTGCTAAAGTGTTACTGTAGCAGCAGAAATGTTAGATATACTGAATATAGTTGAAGTACAATATAGCTCACTTCAAGATATGAGTTTGTTAAAAGAATGAAAATTTTAAGCAGAATGTACATTTTACTCATTTCATTTGTTTGCTAAGCTTTTATATTATACATTTTGTAACTCTTTAGAGTAATGGTAGTGATGGTTATTTTTCCAGGACGAAGTACAGAGAAAATTTGTAGCTTATTATATAAAACCTCTTGTTTGTGTCGTGTACGTGGCTAGTCTGTTTGGTTTAAGGCCTGTCTACTGCACTAGGGTCATTAAGGCCAGTTTATCCAGGTACAGGTACACCATCAATTTTCTGGCACTCTTGGTTCATAGGCTTTTCTGGTATATCAATTTTTCCTAACCAACAGAGGTCTTATAACACTGATTCAGCAATACACCTCCAGCCTGCCATGGTCTGCTGCAAATTTAAATTTACCCTTTCAGGGTCTGTGCCATAGATCTACGGCTTTACATTCAGGGTCCAAACCGTAGATCTACGCCATGAGCTCAGCTCACTCTGATAAGCTGTGAGCAGTAAATTTGGACCTAGATATGAAAGAATACATCTATGTGGTATGTGTGCACCACATAAAACAAATCCTGCAGAAAACAGTGCATAATGAGAGAAAAAAACTGAGACCGTAATTTTCGATTAAAACAGCAACTTTGCAGTGTTTTTCATATGTTTTTTTATAGTTGTATTTGCAATTTCTTGGTCTCATTTGATAGAATGGAAGATATACTACAGAAATAGATATGATTTTGATTGGTTTTAGTACTGGAAATGGCTTGAAACTGAGCTCAAAGTAGCAGAAATGTTAAGTTTTTGCCGAAGTTCAAGAGTAAACAAATGACCTCACACGCCTAATACATGACAGCTGGTGGGTCTAATATACATTCACAAATGTGGTGATATTATTTATACAATTATTACAGTATTGCATAACAGTAAATCTTCTATTTTTTGGTTTGAATAAAAATTCATTATGTGAATAAAAAATAAAAACCGAATTCATTTGTAAAGCCTGAAAACATAACAAATGAACTGAGGAAATGTTAGTTTAGTGCCAGGAATGCCTGCATTGTTTATTCTGGTCCCTATTTTGAAATTGGAATATTTTGAACCTTGTGTTAAATTGGCCAAATTACCAATTTCCGGTCACTTTATTTTGTTGAAACAGTTGACTTGGCAATTTCTTGTGCTCAATCGATAGAATAGAAGTAATACTAGTGAAATAGCTAAGAATTTAGTTGACTGGAATACTCTAATTGGTCTAAAATGGGAGTCAAAGTCGGCAAAATCTCCGATGCGTAAATATCGCCGACACATCAAAATTCACGAGAGCATAATTTCGTCAATTTTCCATCAAATTTCATAGTTTTTGTTTTATTACCTTCAGAAAAAGATTCTCTACCATTTCATTAGAAATAATAAAATTATTTTTGGAAAATTCTTGGACCCTCGTGCACACGTTGAAATTTGGCCTCTGGGCCCTGAAAGGGTTAAACATTAGCAAAAATAAAGCAGATGTATTTATTACTGTACTTACAAAGAATGTTGTAGTACTACCACTCCCAAAGTAGTAAATTTTAGAATTTTACAGGAACTGTAGAGCTAATCACAAAAGTTAATTGTTAACAAAATATGCCAAGAATCACATAAAATTAAGGGATCACCACCAACAACTGTAGTGTAAATAATATAAGTGAGCACACACTTCATACAGTGCCATTTGTGGCCACCCAGTAAACTAATTTGGCAAAAAAAAGTGATGTAAATTTTGCCCAGGCTAAAAGAGGTTCCAGATGATCCATTGCCGGTAAATCTGTTTAGTACCTATACTATTATCATGCACTTTAATCCTTAAAACAGGGATTGAACTCAGTGTGTATGCTGGTTCAATAAGAGATACAAGCCTCCTAGTATGTATGCAGTGTGTGTGTATTTTTTATTATTATTATCACACTGGCCGATTCCCACCAAGGTAGGGTGGCCCGAAAAACAAAAATTTTCACCATCATTCACTCCATCACTGTCTTGCCAGAAGGGTGCTTTACACTACAGTTTTTAAACTGCAACATTAACACCCCTCCTTCAGAGTGCAGGCACTGTACTTCCCATCTCCAGGACTCAAGTCCGGCCTGCCGGTTTCCCTGAACCCCTTCATAAATGTTACTTTGCTCACACTCCAACAGCACGTCAAGTATTAAAAACCATTTGTCTCCATTCACTCCTATCAAACACGCTCACGCATGCCTGCTGGAAGTCCAAGCCCCTCGTACACAAAACCTCCTTTACCCCCTCACTCCAACCTTTCCTAGGCTGACCCCTACCCCGCCTTCCTTCCACTACAGACTGATACACTCTTGAAGTCATTCTGTTTCGCTCCATTCTCTCCACGTGTCCGAACCACCTCAACAACCCTTCCTCAGCCCTCTGGACAACAGTTTTGGTAATCCCGCACCTCCTCCTAACTTCCAAACTACGAATTCTCTGCATTATATTCACACCACACATTGCTCTCAGACATGACATCTCTACTGCCTCCAGCCTTCTCCTCGCTGCAACATTCATCACCCATGCTTCACACCCATATAAGAGCATTGGTAAAACTATACTGTACTCTCATACATTCCCCTCTTTGCCTCCAAGGACAAAGTTCTTTGTCTCCACAGACTCCTAAGTGCACCACTCACCCTTTTCCCCTCATCAATTCTATGATTCACCTCATCTTTCATAGACCCATCCGCTGACACGTCCACTCCCAAATATCTGAATACATTCACCTCCTCCATACTCTCTCCCTCCAAAATTGATACCCAAATCTTTCACACCTAATCTTTTTGTTATCCTCATAACCTTACTCTTTCCTGTTTCCCCTTTAAAAATTTTCTTTTTTTTTGCACACCCAAAACCAAATTCACCCACCAATTCTGCAATTTCTCTTCAGAATCTCCCAAGAGCAAAAGTTTTATCAGCAAAGGGGCAACGTGACAACCCCACTTTAGTGTGAATTTTTTACTTTTAACTCCACGCCTCTTCCCAAGCCCTCCATTTACTTCTCTTAAAACCCCCCATAAAAAAATATAAAAAAAACCACTGACATCACACTCCTTGTCTACGGCCTCTTTTACGGGGAAATTTTTCCCTCTTTCCTACATACCAAATTTGACCTCATTTCCTGTAAAACCTCATCACGCTTTCATAACCTACTCCTACACCATCCCCCTGCAACTCTCCCACATTGCCCCCCCCTTTTCCCTTTCATACCCTTTTTTTTAAAAAAAAAGATGAAGATTTTACCTTATCTAAATACTGTTCACTTATTGTTTCACTGTAAACACCTGGCCCACACACCCCCTCCCTTTTTCCTAAAGCCTCCTTGTTCATCGCTATCCTATTCTCCGTCTTACTCTTAATTCTTTCAATAAAAACTTTTTACCATACACTTGCCAGGTAATCAAAATTATCCCCTTAATTTTTGTTTCCCTTTTTTTTCCCCCCTTTGCCTTTATACAAAGGAACTAGCATCTCTCTGCCAACCCATGGGTACCTTACCCTCTTCCTACATTTATTAAAAAAATTTGCACCAACCCCCCAAAAACTTTTCCCCCACCTGCTTTTAACTTTTCTCCTTTTCCCACAACCCCGGCTGCCAAAACCCCTTTTATTTTCCCTACTCCCTCCAAACTTCCCCCACACTCACAACTGGCTTTTTCCTCATCCTACAAATGTTGTTTCTCCTTCCCTAACACGAAATCCGTTTCCCTATCTTCATAACATTAACAATTCCTCAAAAATTCCCCCCTTTTTCCCCAATACCTGAAAACCCCATTTAATAACTCTCCCTCTCTTATTTTAACTGACAATCCATTTGTTTTCTGGTTTTCCTTAATTGTTAATTAACCCCCAAACTTTTTCTTATTTTAACAAAATTTTTTGTAAATTCACCCAGTTTTCCATTTGCTCCTTTTTACTTTGCTTCACCACTTTTTAAACCTGTCTCTTATTCTCCAAAACTCTTCCCCCCTTGCATCACTTTACTTTGTAAAAACTTCTCATATGCAAATTTTTTCTCCCTTACTAAACCTCTTCACATCATCTTTCCATCAATCGCTCCTTTTCCCTCCCGCACCCACTTCATGTAACCCCAAACTTCTGCTGAACCTCTAACGACATTTTAACCTACCCATACCTCTTCACCCCATTGCCTATCTTCATTACCCATCTTCCTTCAATGCTTTTAATCTTTCCCCAACTCCTTCTTTTAGTTTTTAAAACCTTACCCCTCTCTTCCCTGAGCTTCTATTCTCGTTGTATCCCATCGACCTTTTACTCTCATGAGCTTTTAACTAGAAAGTGATTGATATATCGTGGCCCCCCATAAACAGTACAATCCTGAAGTCTACCAAAAAGTTTTTTCTACCAATTAAAACCAAAAGCTACTGTCTTTTGCCCACCATATCTTGTATACTTTTTTTATCCTCTTTTTCTTAAAAAATGTATTTTTATAACTAAAAACCCCTTTTTTATAAAAGTTCAATCAAAGGG